CCATTCAGGGTTCAGCCCTGGCCCATCTCATCCAGAAGCCCAACGTCAGTTCCTCTTCATTGTCGTGGTCCATTTGCTCCTTTAGTGAGCAGGCACAGGAGTAGGCCACCTATGGGCATTGCTCACCTAGCTGGTGGTCAGCTGACCAGTAGCCTGCCCCTTACTTCTGTTTATGCTGGTGAGGCCTCCTCTGAGGAAGGAAAGCCATCAGATCCCGGTACCTATGTGCCAGGAGGCACAGGGAGGTCTGCATACAGGTCTCTGAGGCTCACCATGGCCCAAGGCTGAGTGTGTGCTAGGGTTGGGGTGAAGGTTCAAGGACATCCCTATGAGTAGGTTTGTGGCTTGCTATGACCCTCCTCAGACAAGACCCTCATTCTGGGTCAGCAGGGGAGACTGACCCTTAGGCTAAGGACCTGCTATGTGCCAGGCTGTGGCTCAGCATCTTCTACAGAAGCATTGATGGGACCCTCCTTTCTAGGTTGTTATGGGGGAGCTAAGACTGCACAGGGAGCAGCCCCAGTTTGTGTTACACAGCCTAACATGCCAGCTCTTTTTTGCCCAACCCCTGGCCTGGTCTCAGAAGAGGAAGGCTGGGGGCTTGTCTGGCAATTCTGGCCAGTTTTCAGGGAAGGACTAGGCTGGCCTATTCAAAGCAGGAAAAGCAGTTCACAACAGTTGTTGTGAACTGTTTAACACCTGGCTAGGCTGGGCAAGGCCCGTTATAGGGCCAGGCCTTGTGCTAGGTGGGCAGAAGGGTGGATCAGAGAGGCAAGGATTTTGCTTGAGATCACCCAGCAAGGTTATCAACCCCATCCCACACTCGGGTTGGTGAGTGCTAGAAAGTGGTCTCTGGGCAGATCTAGTATCCACAGCATACGGAGCCCCCTGCCTAGGTTTGGTGCTGCTGGGGAGAGCTGGAGTAGTAGAGGACAGGAGGCAGTGCTGTGCCCAGCCCTGACATTAAGGCCCCTGAAGCCACAGAATCTCACAGCCTCATGTTCCACAGTTGTCATCCATGCCTCTAGGCATAGTCAAGGAAACCAAGGCCCAGAGAGGGGAAAGCACTTGCAAGACCATGTTGCCACAATCTGGGTTTGACAGCCTTGAAGGCCAGAGTTCTTTCCTGGGCCACCCTGGGAAAGATGGGAGCTCTATAAATAAACTGCCCATGTGGTTGTAAGAGTGCCCTGGTGAATTGGCAGACATGAAGGGGTGAAGGGGACCTTTGCAGCTAGTTAGAGGCAGGGTCTGAGTGTAGTGGAAAGAAGGAAGGAGGGCTTCCAGAAGGGGTTAATCTTGTCCTTGTCCATGTCATGGTGAGAAGGAACGAAGAGAGCAAAGGGCCCTGCAGTGTGCCCAGCCTCCTGCACACACTGCTTCCTCCCTCCCTACTACTGGCAGGGGTCAAAGAGACTGCTAGTTGATGGTTGAGGAGACCCCTCCCCCCCATAGGGAGGCTTCCTGCCAGAGGACAACCTGAGCTTGGACCTGATTATAAGAAGAGTCCCTGTTTGCTTGTGCACGACGTTAGGTCCTCCACCACACCATAAGGTCAGCTGAATAGGCACAAGTGCCCCAAGTTACAGAGGGGAAACTGAGGTTTGGACTGCTGAACTATCCCTGCTCGGTACCCCTCTACCTTCCTGACTATGGCCATAGCTGGTATGGAAGCAGGTGGGCACAAGGCCTGGATAGGAATGGGCACCAGGATCCTCCCAGGGAGGTCAAGGAGCTACCACCTATGCTGTAGGGATTTACATTGGGTTCTGGGTGACCTTGGCTTGACTCTGAGCCTGGATTCCTGCTCTGGCCCTCTTGAGGCTGTGGTGAGAACTGGTACTCCCCAGCCAGCACCACTTACAGTGATCCTCTCCACATCCCATGAGGCAGGAACTACCACCTGTTTGCAGAGAAGGACCAGAGAGAGTAAGTAACCTGCTCAAGGTCACAGTTACGCTAAGTGCCAGAGCCTGAGTCCAGGTGAACTGCCAGCCCCATCGTCACACACACCTTAGCACAGCTCCGCTGGATGGTGCCTCGGGGAGCCTCTCTTCCCAGCACCCCAGCTTGGGGGAATTAGAGAGTGGTAGTGGGGCTGTGTTCCTCCCTCAGTCTCTTCCAAAACTACTGCTTCAGTCAGCTGGGTTGGGATTATGGTGGCAGAGCCTGTGCTGAGCAGACTCTGGCCCTTGGGCTCTTTACTGATTCTGTACCATGTGCTTGACTGGGGTGGAGGCCAAGATGACTTCTAGGAGGAGGAGGTCACAACAGCATGAGGAAGGGGGGGATGCAGTGGGGAGTGTCCTTCAGCCCCTCCTGGGCCCCTTGCTGCCCTGTCTTGGGTAGAAGAGCAGCCCAGGGCTGGCCTATAGTGCTGAGAGGTTGATGTCAGGATGCTTTTATCAAGTCATGGGGAGCCATGGGGATAGCAGGCCTGGCCCACCCTGTCTCCCTTGAGGCCAGATCAGTACAGGTTACTACTTAGCTTTTCAGAGCCTCAGTTTCCTCAAGTGTGGGACACAGAACCCTATGTCTGACAGGTTCAGTGGGAGCCAGCCTAAAGAGGGAATAGGACATGCCCTAAGTGCTTAGGGAGCGGGTTATTGGGGAACTCCAGCTCTGGCCCAGAGATGACTGACCTGAGACACCCTCTGCCCTAGCCCAGAATCAGCACAGGAAGGAGAGAGGATATTGCATTCGTATCCTACCCAGACTGGGAGGAGCTGCAAGAGCCAGATCTGGCCTTCTCAGCCCTTTTCTTAGCCTCAAGGAGCCAATTAGCCCCTCACCCCTCCTGCCCACCTCACCCATGAGCCACTGCATTGCAGGTCCAGTGGCAGCCGGAAGAGCTGAGGGGCAGAACCATGCCCAGTTCCTGGCAGGTGGCCATGGCTGCTTCCTAGCAGTGTGGTAGTTCAAGATTAGGGGACCAGCATTAGAGAGGTACTCACTCAAGGTGGTGACCTGGGTGATCATGGCTGCACAGGCTTGGGGGAGGGCTGCGAGAGGGGCACCCTTCTTGCAGAGTGGTTCTGAGCCAGCCTCTGCACATCTCTGGGCCCCCAACTCCAGCAGCAGCAGCCCTAGGCAGCTGGGGCTCTACCCTGGGACCTCTTCCTCCTTCTGGGAATTCCCAGACTTCCCCAATCTTCCTACTCCTTATAGTTCCCAGTGTCCTTCCTGCCAGAGCTGGCATAAATTAACACAATATACAAATGAGCATGGGTGCAGGCAAATCCCAGAGGCCCCTAAAACTGCCAGGGAGGGGCTTCAGCTCCTCTGGAGCATTCCTAGTCTTTGTAATAGACTCTTCTGTTGAACCATCTTGCATGCTTTCTCCTTCCCTAGCCTCCACTATCAGATTGGCAAGTACTCGGAGAACATCCACCTGCCAGGCCAGGGCTAATGCTTAGAGGGAGGAGGCAAAGATGAGGCAGTCCTGGGCTCTGGGGAGTCCCTGCCTGAGCATTTCCTGGCTGCGTGACCCCTATGAGTGACCTCCCCCAACCTCAGCTGGAGTTGTGAGTGGAGGTGACCCAGGGTGAGTGACAGGCCTCAGGTGAGATTAGTCCCTTTCCCCTCTTAGGGAGGAGGAATGGCAGGCCATGTCTAGCGCCCTCACTGCTGCCCAATGTGGGCACTGCCCTACTTCAGCCCCAGTTGCCAGGGAACCACTGGGTCCCTTGCTAACCTGGATTTCTCTATTCATGGGCAGCCTTTGTGTTCTTACCTGGTACGGCCACTGCTGAGGGAGGCCTGTGTCCAGTTGTGTTTCTAGGCAACCCCCACCCCTGGAGGCCCACAAACCTTGGTGCCTCAGGCTGGGAAGCAGTATCTGCCTTCTCACCTGCCCTGCTCCACGTGGGCCCTGCTCCCACCTCCATCTCCCTCACTCCCCTTGCTTGGCAAGCAGCCCAGCTTGCCTGCCTGCTAAGACACAAGTAGTTCAGTACCTCTCCCCACTCTGCTTAACCCTTCAGGGCTCTGCTAGGCCCTGGGGAAAGTGCGGACTTCTGGGCTGACAGCTGAGGCTGAGGTATGGTGTGACCTGGCCCTGCCTACCCATCTTCCCAGACTCCTCTTTTGTACCTCCATTCCTAGCGTGGCTGATGGCACATTTGCTATGTGCCCGGCTCCGTGCTAAGCACTAAACGTAAATGTGTGCTTCATACCTGCCTGTCAAGTATGTGCCCCTTCCGTCTTCACAATTTGCACATGGAAGAAACCGAGGCACAGCGAACGCTGACTGAAGGCTTACTGTGTGCCAGCCCTGTGCTGAAAAGCAAATGTGAGTTTCGTCATTTTACAACCTCACAACAGCCCTCTGCAGAGGGTCCACAGGCACAAAGCCAATGAACAGCGGAATAGAGCAGGGTGGGCTTGGGCTTGGCTTCCACATATTAACCCACGTTAGCCCAGTGCTTCAGATCCAGCCTCTGGACTCCTTTGTCAGAAGACTGCTCCCTTGCCCTCCTTCCCCAGCAGAGCCGGGCCATCTACTAAAGAGACCTTTCATGTACTTACTCAGCGTGGCACTGGGCACAGAGGGCGCCTCACCGTGGGGCAGGGGCTGGGAAAACTGGGTGGTGAATGTGGAGGGGAGGTGGCGGCTGGGGAGGCTTCCAGGAGGAAATGACTTTAAGCTGAGCTCTGGAGGAAGTGGAGGTGTTGGCCAAATGATGGGAGGGGTTTCTGGGCTGAGGAAACAGCAGGTGGTATGTCTCTGTATCTTGGAAAGAAGCTCCAAGTGGCTGGTATGTGGGGCTGGCAGAGGCTCATCAGGATGCCATTCTGAAGGTGGTGGGAGCTGCCCCAGGGGCCAGGGCCAGGGCCAGGGCAAAATCTCCTGTCAAGACACCTAGGCTGCAGGGTGGGGTTGACCTGGAGGCCAGGAAAAGGCAAAGAGGCTAGAGGTATGGGCAGGGTCCCTGGGAAATCTTGGGAGAGAGGAGGGCCTGGCTTGGAGAGGGGAAGGGGCGTGGCAGGGGCCGGGCTGACCCAGGTCTTCAGTTCCAGGAAAGGGGAAGCTGCTTGAGGCCTCTGAGGGTGGCACAGCTTCCTCTTTCTGTTAGGTCTCCAGGGCTGCTCCTCCCTGGACCACTGCCGCCTCTACCTTCCACTGCAGCTTGGGGGCCTGGTTGTGGCTTTGCTAGTTGGCTTCTACCCAGGGAATTTCTGGTTCTGATTGTTTGGCGCTGTTAGGAGGGCTGAGTCTGAGGAAGCATTCCCTGACCCTGTGAGCCTGTTTGCATTGTAGGCCTCCAGCACCAGACCTGGGCTGGGTGCCGGGTGTTGGTGGTGAATAAAGCAGACATCCCGGCCCTGTCTGCTGTCTGGTGGGTGCAAGCAATAAACAAGTAAGCAGACAAATACTTAATTACAAACCTGCAGCTGCTGGGGAGGAAGGAAATCCTGTGACCTACTTTAGGCCCATTACCTCATTTGAGCCTCATGATAGCCTTTTACCCTGGGGGATAAACACCCCCATCTTACAGATGAGGAAACTGAGCCCTAAGAAGCAAGGAGCTCAGGTCCCACAGGGAGTTGGTGGCAGCAGGGATGGCCCCAGGCTCAGAGACTTGGAGGAAGGGTGGCCTCTGTGCTAACTTCCTTTTCTGCCAGAACCCCTACCCTTCCTCCCTCACACAGTGTGACTGGGGGTGGCCCTCCTCCCACAGGCCATTGTCGCTGGAGGGGAGTTAGGCCTTAACTTGGGCCTCAGCTTTCTGTCTCTTAACAGCTGTCTTCCAGGCAGCCCTCAGGAGGTGCGGGGCCTTGAGACATCACTGACTGCCCTGCCTTCTGGATAAGGCAGTGTGGTGGGGCTGGGCCCTTCACAGACCCCCTCCCAGTGAGGGGCTTCTCTTTAGACTTGTTTTCCAGGGCTCTGGCTTAGAGGCTAGAGGCCTGGGGGGCAGGGGTCTGGGCAGCAGGTGTGCTATGTACATGGGCCTTTTTCCTGACCGAGCAAGTCCGTTGGGGGCTCAGTCTGGCAGAATGTGGGGGCCTGGGCAGCCAGACTGGGGTAAGTGCCGGTTTGAGGTAATTAGAAGGCACGTAATTAGAAGGCACAGGGTGCAAGGCCGCAGATGTCTGTGAATGTGCCTGAGGGGATGCGCGCTAACTTTGAGACTGGGCCTCCAGACCCTCACTTTCCTCCTGGAAGTCTTCAGATTGCACCACTTTGGGCTTGTCTGCAGATGAGCAGCTGCAAAGCCCCTCCTTGTTGGCTCAGGTCACCCAGCAGGTGCCACCAGGGTCCGGTGGTCCTGGTGCTCTCTCTTCCACTATCGTTTTGTCTATTTTCACCATCTGCCCCAGGGCTGTGGGGGTGTTGGTGCTGGGGCTGGGCTGTAAGGACAGCCTATGGACTTGGGGTTTGTGGTCAGACCTGTGGGTTAGATCCCTTGAAGGACAAGGGAGGGGCCACCGGAGATGGGCTTGAATGTGGGAGCTGGGCCTTTGCAGGGGGAGGGACACTGTGTAGCAGAACCTGGAAGAAAGATTTGTGACCAAATTTGAGGGAGACCTAGTCAGGGGAAGAGTCAGGGGTGCTATCTATTGAATGTTGACTGCCAGATGTGGCCTTTACTTACTCTATGGCCTGGCCTTTCCTGTCCCTGGTTTTCCCCTTAGCTGGCCTGGGGCTGAGAGCCACAGGCTGCCAATGACCTGGAGAGTCCCGAAGATGATGTGACCACTGTCCCTCCCCCTCCTCTGGGTGTAACTCAAATCCATGACCCTGCCGAGGGCACCTGGCCAGGCCAGGTCAGGTGGAGGGATCAGTTTCCTTGGCTCCTTTTCCAGGCGGGAAGCCCGGGCTGCCCACAGGAGAGGGGCTCTCATGTGACCTGGAACCTCCTACAGGCAGTGCATCTCCTGCCAGGCTTGACATCAGACAGGTTGGACCCCTCTGCCTGCAGGGGGCAGTGGGCCAGTGGCTGGGCTCCCTGAGGCTTGGGAGCACCCTTGAGCTTCAGAGACTACACATGGCCTGTGCAGTGCTGGTGACCACCACTTTTGTCAGCCTTATGACCCTGAAGCTAGGTCTCTGGAAAATAAATCGTGGGACATCCTGGTTCTGCCACAGTCCCTTCTGTTGACTAATACGACTCCTTCTCCCTGCTGTTCCAACCTTTTCCACTGACTGGAGACTTCTGTACCTGGGGCCTCAGCCTGGGAACTGGAGAATCACCACTGATGTTTGTCTCTGAATTATAACACACTGTGTCCTCACTCTGTTTTTTCTTGCCACTTCCCATCAACTAGCAGCAGGACCACGTTCTCATTCTCTGTTGTTGGTATCTCCTGGGATGGAACTCCCTGGAGACGGGGCCTTCACCTGTCTTGTTCATTACTATTTCCCTGGTGTTGAGGCTGTGGCCAGCACAGGAGATGCTGAGAGATGAGGAGAGACTGAATGCTACTGCTATGACCCCAGCCCCACAGGACTGTTGGGCACCAGGCAGAGATGCAAGCAGACGTCTCAGCCCACCCAGGGGAGGTGTGAAGGAGGAGCAGGCCTGTGATGGAGTGGGCAGGGGAGGGGCACAGGAGCTGTGGAAGGGAAAGCTTCTAGAAAAGCTTCCAGAAAGAAGTGTTTGCATTGGCTTTGAAAGGTGAGGTCAGGGCTTCCTTGGAGAAGAAGCAACAAGAGTGAAGGTAGCAGGTTTGTGGACCTGTGGTAGCTCTGGCTGGCAGAAGCTGCAGATGAGAGCAGAGAGGACAGGGCTGGGGGCATTGCCACTCTTTCAGCACCCCTGCCTCCCCCAGTCCTCCCCACAGGCCCCCCATGCTTCCTTCCTCCCTTGCTCCCCAGCGATGCTGCAGGGCACCTGGCTGTTTATGGAAGGGGAAGGAAGCCCTTCCTCCTCTGGGAAGCCTCCCTAGCCTGCAGAGTCCTGCATTTGCCCTTCCAGCCTGGCCTGGCAGCCGTCTCTGTTCAGGCTTGCATGGGTGTAGGGTGGCCCGTGCTCTGCCTGCCTTGCGGCACCTTGCAAAATCTTTGTCAAGTCCTGTCATCCTAAAAGTGACTTGGGGGGATAGTAGCTGCCTGTGTGTCCCCCTGAGCCTCCCTTCAATCTACCCTAGGCCAGCAATCACTCCAGGGCCTGATGATGAAGCCAAGCCTGCCATGCTGGCCCCTTTCCTGCTTCCTTATGGTGAGTGTATGTAGGGTATGGGCTGGGGAGAAGCCACAGGAGCTGGACCCTGAGCCTGCACCTCATCCCTCTGGGAAGGAGGGTGCGGAGCTGCTCAGGAACCCCATGCTAGGTGTGGGTGGGGGAAGGTTGGGTTCCTCAGCTCTTCCTGGGAAGCATTTTAGGCAGTCAGATGCTGGGAAGCACCTCCTGGCCCACCCTAGCACAAGCTGGTGACCCAGTAGGGGCATCTAAGACAGGGACACAGCTTTCCCAAGCCGTGCCCATCCAGACCAGGTGAGGACTTGCTAGCATTTATAGGGGAGGCAGGTGTGGCTGAGGGTATGGTGCTGGCCGGCAGGCAGGTGTGGGAATAGCGCCGAGGGTGGGCTAAGGACCTGGATGAAATTGGTCAAAGTCCTAGGATTCAGAGCGCTTCACATTGCCGGACCCCAGATTCCAGGTCTGGTATCAGAGAATCAGCTCATTTGCAATACAGACTTGTAGCCTCAGGAATTGTCTTAAGAGTTAGGGTCTGAGGTCATCTTTCTGCTGTAGAGGCCTCAGAGCCTAGGCAGGCACTGAGAGCTGGGAGCCAGGCCTGGGGTGTGAAGAGGTCCCCAAAGCCTCTGTGGACATTCTACCTCCCGAACAGCAGGTTCTGCTCTGCGTCTGCTGCTCCTTTCCAGCCAACAGCTTGGGTCAAAGTGAAGGTCAGAGGTCTCCCCACAGCAGGGGCTTAGAGAAGACAGTTCATACCTGAGAGTGGGGAGCAGGGACGTCACCAGGGAAGATGTTGGGGACCCACATGGAGAAAATCCTTGCTTTGGAATGTGGCATGCCCTATTTGGGTGCAGGGTGTGAATGGGGTGGCTTTGTTGCAGGGAGAGGTCAAGAGAACCTCAAACTCAGCCTGGGGCCCAGAATAGTAATCACTAGCTGCAGACTTGGCTCTGGGGATGATGAACAGTCTGCTAATGACATGCCCAGCCGTGATGGGAGGTCAAGGCGGCAGGGAGGGGATAGAGCCAGACAGGAATTCGGAAACGTCCAGAAACGTTTTCTCCTTACTGGTCTGCTCTGCGGGGAGGAGTGTGCCCAGAGACTCAAGGGCTTGAGGTCCTTGTCCTGTTTGGGACTTGCCAGCACTTCTCAGAAGGAGATGTGGGTCCCTCTTTACCCAGGTGCAACAGGTCTGATACAGGACAGGTTTTCCTTGCTGTATGAGAGATTGAGGTTAGAAGATTGTCCCTGAAGCGTGGGTAGGGTGGCCCTGTGTGGAGTGATTCCCGCCCCCTGGGCCTCAGGAAGCTGGTAGTGGGCAAATGACCTGAGACCCCATGCCCAACACTTTCTGCCTTTCACCGTGTTCTTCCTCCTGTTGTTCTTCCAGCTGCTGCCCTGGCCTTTGGCCACTCTCACATCGACAACCCCTTGGTTGTGTCCACCTGGGGAGGAGCCTGACTTGGTGAGTGTTGCATTGCCCAGCTGCCCAGTCCAGGGAAGATTCCTGAGGGCAGGGGCAGAGGCCCAGGCCTGACTTCCCCAGGGTCCTTAGGCCTGGCTTCTGGCCTTGTTTTGCCCTTTCTCTCCCACAGGACCCAAAGCAAGGCACACTGTGCAGGTCCTGCCCCCCAGGCACCTTCTCAGATTCATGGAGCTCTCTCCCATGCCAGCCCCATGACCGCTGCAGCCTTCGAAGAAGGCTGGAGGCCCAAGCCGGCACAGCAACTCGAGATACACTATGTGGAGGCTGCCAGCCTGGGTGAGCACAGGGGTGGGTGTGGGCTTGTGCTTGGAATACCAGGACTCTGGGTCCTGGGCTTCAGCCTCATTCTACCTTGAGCTGGCCTCAGTCTTCCCATCTGTGAAATGGATGGGGTAGGACCATTGAGGGTGCCTGTAGGAAGGAGCCCAACTTCTCTGAAGGACAGTTTTTTTGGAGAAACTTCTGAACTTCAGTGATATCTTTCCTCTCTGCAGATGGTTTGGACCTTGGGGGGTCCCCCGTGTTCCATGTCAGCCATGCTCCTGGGCACCTCTGAGTCCTCGTGGTTGTGATGGTGAGTGGCAGTTGGGTCTAAGACTGTCATGGGTGTGGGGAAAGGGGTCTGGTGAGCTTGAGCCCAGGAGTCCCCACAGTGTCCATGTGGGGATGGTCCTTTTCCAGTCCATGGGAGGGCAGGCTGCTAGAGAGTATCTGGCAGCATGCAGTCAGTCACTCACCTTGCTTCTGAGTGGCAGAGACCATTCAGCAGGTGGCAGCCACAGTTAGGAAGCTTGAAGGGTTCCACATCCCTCAAGCTTGCCCACTCCAGGAGTGGAAGTTCCACATCCACTTGTCCTGTCTACTCCAGGAGACCCCTGCAGGTGGATGTGAACACACTCATACATACACAAGCACGCTTACCTATGCACACACACACCCCACCTCCTCCCGCCACCCAGCCAGTCACTGACTGTGTTGTGGGCAGGTGTGGTTCTGTATCCCCGTGCCCAAACATGTACCATATGTGCCTGCCTGGTCGCTCTTCACACCCCAGCAGGAATGGGGGATGTGAAGAGGGTCTGGCCATCCTGAGGCGTGAGGGGATTAATTGAATGGCCAAAAAGGGAAGAGAGGAGGGGTGTGAGCTGGCCTTTGCCTCCCCAGTGTGGCAGGGCAGGTGGCTGTGGACATGCCAGCTCACCTCCCCCATGCACTAACTCGGGCCTGGACCTTGCTGCTTGTCTGTGTATCTGTTTCTCTGCCTGTCTTGCCTCCATTCTCTGTGGTGCTCAGAGTGGGGGCGGCGGGCCCGACGTGGTGTGGAGGTGGCAGCAGGAGCCAGCAGCGGTGGTGAGACACGGCAGCACAGGAATAGCACGAGGGCAGGTGGCCCTGAGGAGACGGCTGCTCAGTACGCGGTGATTGCCATTGTGCCTGTCTTCTGCCTTATGGGGCTGCTGGGCATCCTGGTGTGCAACCTGCTTAAGCGGAAGGGCTACCACTGCACAGCCCACAAGGAGGTCGGGCCCGGCCCTGGAGGAGGAAGCAGCGGTGAGGCCCAGCCTGGGGTCCAGGTGGGAGGCCAGGGCTCCAGAGGGGACCTCTGAGTCTGAATGGGAGAGGCCTGCAGAGAGTGAGGAGCTGAGGTGTGGCATCGGGTAGAGTTGAGGACAGCTGGTCAAGTGGTGGTGGTGGGATTCCAACCCTAGATGAGGCCCTGCCCTGTTGTGGGCTTCTGGACTCCTTGGGTGCCTCAGACTACAGTTGTAGGTGTGACTCAAGGATTGATTGGCCTTGGAAGTATTCAAAGTGACCTCTGACCTCTGGTCTGGAGCCAGAGGAATGCCCTGCGTCAAGAGAGCTGACAGGCAGCTAGCGTCCTGGGCAGACATCACAAGGGATTCGGGTTTCAACTCCAGGCTGTGGTTTGAATTACAATCCTGGAACCAGAGGGAGAAACACATTCTCCCACCTCTCCCTCAGGGCCCTGGGCACCCTTTTTCTCTTCTGCACCTGACCAATGTTCCCTGAAGGGAGGGGCCCCCCGTACATCCACTGCCCTGTGCCCACAGGAGCCTGAAGCCAAGTCGAGTGACATGGCATCTCCATGCCACCGTCCCCGGCACTGAGTCCCTTCCAGCTCCCGACAGTGAAGTCTGGAGGGGCAGGAAGAGACCAGGAGCTACAGGCAGGCAGGCACATGTTGGCTCAGGGTAATTTTGCCTAGGACTGTGCTCATTTTCCATGTCTAGCGATTCGCTGTAACTGCTGGCTGCTCCCTAGGTGCAGTCTGGGGACTCTCCTTGCTGCTGGGTTCAGGACCCATCACAGTGGTTCATTCTCACACTCTTGACATTTGGACCAAAGCTGAACAAAGGCTCCACTAAACAGTTACACAGGGTGGTGTACAGGAAGGGAATGGGCCTGGAAAGAGAGCACTTACTGGAGATACTGGGAGTTCTGGGCAGGGAGGTGCTCCCCTGGCTTGCTGTCCCCTGTGCTCCCTGAGCCTGAGGAAGGGACAGGGCTGACCCAGAAGAAGCTGATGTGGCCAGTGCTGTACACCCTCCCACCCCCATGCAGGGACTATGGGGTTCAGATAGTCCCCAAACCAAAACCACTAAGCTTCTTGGGGCTGCTGGGTGCAGGAAGTGATGTTGAGTGGTAAAGGTGATGGGCTTCTCTGAGCCATAGCTGTGGCCTGGAGCCCACAGGAGCAGGACACTGCCAAGGGGGTGTGTGTGGAGGGGGCGGGGAGTGTCTTCTGTCACTAAAACAGTTCTGCTGCATCTCTGAGGTGGGCTTGGGCACCCTCTGCTGGCAGATTCTGGTGTAGCTCGGGAGCCCAGAGTTCCCCTTCTCCCTAGGATCATGGACCTTCTGTTCTCTCCCCTAGGGATGAACCCTGCCTATCGGACTGAGGATGCCAATGAGGACACCATCGGGGTCCTGGTGCGCCTGATCACAGAGAAGAAAGGTGAGGAGAGGGTCTGACCCATGCAGTACCTGGAAGCAGAGGATCTCTTCCCAGAGCCCATCAGGCCATACAGGGCACATTCCTGCCCTGCTCTGCCTCCCCAGCCAGACGCCTCAACCTGGCCTAAGCGTCTGATCTGATACTTCCCTTTGGGCCTTACTTAATGAGGGGTGGAGGAAAAGGCACACAGCCCAGGCTGGGGATGGGTGGTGGTAGGTTCAGGGGTCTTTGCTGGGGTGAGGGTGGAGTTGGGTTCTGACTACAGCTGCCCACAGAGAACGCGGCTGCCCTGGAGGAGCTGTTGAAAGAATATCACAGCAAACAACTGGTGCAGACAAGCCACAGGCCTGTGCCCAGGTGAGGGGGTGTGACCCTCAGATAACTAGCCTTCCACTGGGGGTTTCCCAGTCTGTTCTCTGTTATGTCACCTCTATTCCTTCTTTGCCTACTGGAGATCTATCTCCTGATCCTGGGCTTGGCCTGCCATGGTGCCTGCTTCCATCTGTGCCCTCTGCAGGCTGCCTCCGGCCTTCCCCAGCATGCCACACATCTGTCCGCATCGTCACCACCTCCACACTGTGCAGGGCCTGGCCTCGCTCTCTGGCCCCTGCTGCTCCCGCTGTAGCCAGAAGAAGTGGCCCGAGGTGCTGCTGTCCCCTGAGGCTGCAGCTGCCACCACTCCAGCTCCCAGCCTCCTGCCCAACCCAACCAGGGCTCCCAAGGCTGGGGCCAAGGCAGGACGTCAGAGTGAGATCACCATCTTGTCTGTGGGCAGGTAAGGTGGGGAGAGACATGGTGGAGTTAGAGAGAGACATGACAGTTGGGGATAGGCAGGGCCCAAGCACCATGCCTTTCCTGGGCCTCACTGAGCAGTGGGGAACCAGAGAGAAGTTGACACTTGTCAGCTGTGCTGTGTCTCACATGGAACCCTTGGTCCCTGGATCCAAGGTCCTGTCCACCTGTAACCTAGAGCTGAGAGTACTGGGGGCCAGGCACAAACAGCAGAGTAAAGCCCTTGTCTGTGGTTAGCTGGGAAGGGCTCAGGCTCTGATCCTAGCACTTGCTGTGTGACCTAGAAGGGTCTGCCTTCCGCCCTTGGGGTCCCCCTCTAATGGCGGCTGGTCGCATCACCTCTCCCCACAGGTTCCGTGTGGCTCGGATTCCTGAGCAGCGGACCAGTTCAGTGGCATCTGAGGTGAAGACCATCACGGAGGCTGGGCCTTCAGGGGGTGATCTCCCTGACTCTCCACAACCTGGCCTCCCCCTTGAACAGCGAGCCCTGCTGGGAAATGGTGGAAGCAATACTAAGTGGTTGAAGCCCCCAGCAGAGAACAAGGCTGAGGTGAGGGCTGGGGAAGGTTTCTGTTAGCATCTGGGCCAACCCACCAAAGACAGAGCAGGGGTGGCAGCGCAGGGGCCAATTTCCTGGAGCCCAGAAGCCCACTGACTCAGCTTTGACCCTTCCACCCGTCCACCAGGAGAACCGCTATGTGGTCCGCCTAAGCGAGAGCAACCTGGTCATCTGAAGGACTGTCTAGTCTGAGACATATGTCCTGCCCTGGGAGGTTCCGAAAGCTTCCTGCAGGAGGGAGAGCTGCTGCTGGGACCATGAGGACAAAGAAGCAAGGGCCCAGCAGAGAAAACAGCAAAGGCCAAGGCCTGGAGGTGGGACGGTACACCCCAGTGAGGAGGCGGGCAGCCGGCGGGTACCGCGTGCAGGAGCAGATGGAGAGCCTCTCCCTGTCCCTGACACCCTAGTTCCTCCCCTGCAGGATGCCCCAATCCTGTGCCTACCTTGGCCACATCATCAGAGCCCACAGGGTCCTCTGTTTCCCCAGGAATCTGGGCTTGGTGGAGGGATGGCACCTGTACCTGGTATCTAGCCTGTGCCTTGGGGACTAGTCACCCTTACCTGTCCAGAGCCCTAGAGCAGATGCGCCTCTCCCACCTCTTCTGGCAGGTCCTGTGAAGGGAAGTGGAAGGACCCTGGGTCCAGAGTCCTGGGCTGGGAGGCTGAGCTCCTGGGTTCTAACCCGACTGTGAAGTGGGGAAAGGACAGCCTGGGCTCTCTCTAGCTCCCTGCGGGTTCTGGGCTGGGTCCTGCTGGGAGAACTTGACTCTGCCACCCTCCATCAGTAGCTTTACCTGGCCCACTTTTTTGCTGCTTCCAGGGCCTCTGCCTTCAAGGCCCCCATGGGGCTGTCCATCATGGCTTGGCCTACAGGGGCTTAATGCATGTGCCCACCCCACCCTGCTGTTTTTTAAGAAAACTGAAAAATGGCTTGACCTGGGCAGAGACGTGGTGCAGAGTCCCAGCCAGATCCAAGATCTCTGGAGTTTTGGAGAGAAGCTGGTGGGACTGGAGAGCGCCTCTGGCCTCGGTGGTTCCTGTGTCTCAGGGGTGCTGTCTGTCTGTCCCCCGCCCTGGGCAGTGCAGGCAACTGCCAGTCCAACCCCATCTGTCTCCACTCTGGCTCAGTGCCCGGTTATTTATGTGGGGCCGTGCAGGCACGGGTTCACTGCCCTTCCCGTTTCTCTTATTTATTAAAACCTGCTGTCGTCCATCCTTGCACCTCTATCCCCACCAACTTGTTGAGTAATAAAAGGTGGAAATGATGTCATGAGGAGGGTCCTTTCCCTGTGCCTTCCCCAGCTCATTCAACATATACCTCCTGAGCCCCTGCACTGTGTCTGTCCTGTGTGCTGGACAGGGTGTCCCTCCCCTCACCACACCTGCACCTCAGCAGCCAGGAAAATGTGTGGAGGAGGCCTCTCACCTCATCCAGTTCTCACTGAGGCCCCAGAGGCCAGGCTGCCTGACAGAAAAACAGTGTGAACCATATTCGTGATTTAAAGTTTTCTAATAGCTACATTCCAAAAAGGAAAAAGGAACAGGTGAACCTAATTTTAACAATATTAATATTTTTAATATTTTCATTGCAATATAAAATCAATATAAAAATTATGAATGAGCTTTTTTTTTTGTCTTGAAATCTGATGTGTATTTTACACATACTAGTATGAGCTAGCTTATCCAAGGGCTTAAAAGCCACAAAGCAATGGCTGCTGTATAGAGGAAGTAGAAGTTGTGTGAAGTCTGGGATATGAATGTGGGGGGAAGACTCACTGAGGCTGCAGAGTGTGGAAGAGGGAACAGCATGTGTAAAGGCCATTAGTGTGAGATGAAGGCGGCACTGTGGGCTTTATGCCAAGGATGGCAAGGAGCTTCCATAGTGGTTAGGGAAGGAAGAGCCTGGCTCTTCTGGGCCACACACAGTGTGTAGAGCAAGAGCAGTTGGGGCAGGGCCCCTTGAGAAGCTGTCCAGGCAAAAGCCAATGGAGGGGAACAGACAATCAAAGTCCTAGGGCAGATCTGCAAGGGCTCCTTAATGGGATGTGGGGGAAGGGATGACAGCTCTCTGGGTGGGGCAATGGGAGGAGCAGGGGCCACCTATGTGAAAGCGTGGAGCCCCCAGGAGACAGACCTGGGTGGAAACATGTCTCAGTTCCTGGGGCTTCTCCAGAGCCTGGCAGGGGAATAACAGAAAGGGAGGCAGAAAGCAAGCCAGGAGAGAGCCAAAGGGTGGGGAGGAGGGTGGGGCTGCTAGGCCCCTTGGACTTGGTGGGAGTCCTCAGTGGAGTGGTGGTGGCAGGGCTAGGTCCAAGTTGACTGAGGGAGACAGTTTTGTGCAAAAGTCTGCCTATGCTTTAGGTTTTGGGAGAGATGTTTTTTAGTTAATTTGGTCTCACTGGTATGCTGTTTGAATAGGAACGAGGGTGACCCACGTATACACCATTGACCTCCCCACATTTGTGCTATGAAGTGATCCTGATGGGGTGTGCGTGCGCGTGTGTGTAGAGGCCAGCCTGCAGCAGCCATAGGCAGCCATGCTGGAGCCGCACAGATGGCAGAAACCAAGGTGGGGGGCCCAGTCTGCAAGCTGCAGAAAAAAAAAAAAACCCATCCTTAACAGAGGACAGGTAGACATGCTTTGGGGCTCCTCAGATGGGCAAGGGCACTTCTGAGGAACAGAAGATAAAGTTTCACCTGAAGTAGAAGAAAGGAAGAGACAGGGAGGCTGTTATCAGGAGGAATTTTCTGGAGTAGCACATAGGGTAGGTGACTAATAGGCATCACCAGTGCCCCCAAGGAAATGTCGTCTGAGACTACACAGTGCAGTTGACATCTCTATTTGCCAGCTGTTCGTCTGACCTCTCAAACTTGGCTGTCCACTCAGCCAGCCGTTTCACCCACCCAACTTCCCCTAGGATTTGGATGACCTGTGGGTGAGGCAGGAATTTGAACCTCCCTCCCACCTCCTTCCCCAGGGAAAAGGCTGGATGGGGTCTTGCCTGCCCACCAAGCCTGGGGTGGGGGGGCTGCATTCAGATGCTAGACAGACAGGGTGGAGACTAGGACCAGATCTGGACTCCTAGCCAGTAAGGTGAGCACTGTGCTCCCTCCTCCCAGTCTCCTGCTTGTAGGAAGGACTGGTCTGTTTTTTCACTTACCCCTTGGGGTATTGAGGCTAGTCCCCAAGGGTGGGGTGAAAAGCCAGAGCAGAGGATCAAGTAGGTATGTGTGGTGCCCCTGGCCTGCAGGGCCCACCCACACCCAGGAGCTTTCCTGGCTTGTTCCTTGGAAGATCCTGCAACTCCCTCAGCTCTCCCTCGCTAGACCCAGGCCGCTGACAAGAGGTGGGAGCTAGAGGACAAGAGTGGGGCTTGGCTTACCCTGTGAGGGGTTCTGAGTTTGACCTCATTCCATTAACCCCAACCCCAGCATGGTGGGGGCTGCAGCCCAGTTCTCTACAGCCCATGGTGGGCTGCTGCCCACTTCTGGACAGCAGCCCTGCCACTGTTACCTGCAGCTTAACCTAATAAATTCCATCCTGTCCTAGAGAAACTGATCTCTGTGACTTGCAGTACCTGGGCCAAAGTGCCATCACCTCTCCCTGGATTCCATGCTGGGTCAAGGACAGGAGGGAGGCTAGGAGGATGCCAGGGAGGCACAGGGTAAGGCTGGGGGAGGCACTGAAGTGTGTATGTAAGTCCAGCTGCAATGTAAGTCAAGCCAAACCCACTGGCCCACGAGCTGGTCTTCTGTGCCCATTCCATCCCACCCCACCCTGAACCACTCAGTGTGGTCACTACAACTTTTTTATTTTTGGGGTGCTAGGGATTAAACCCAGGGACTCACACAGGCTACGACGTACTCTACTGCTGAGCTACACCCCTAGCTCTTGTTAACTTTAATTACTGAATGTTCTTCAGTCTAGAGTAAGTATCATTGACAAATGCTTGGCTTCAGTCTTTCAGAGTCCTCATTCTTGGCCTGTTTGCTCTCCAGTTGAGCAGGCTGAATTGGAGGTGTGGCCCTGGGAAAGCAAGATGGCCAGATGGCCCAAGGAGAGAATTTGGGGTCTGGGTTAGGGCAGTGGCAGTCACCAGACAGGGAACAGGAAATTCAGATGTGTAGGAGGTAAAACTGACAGCACCTGATGACTGGATGAGGCCACATGGCCTCAACCGCCCTGTAACTATAAACCACCAAGCTCCCCCTTGGCTTTCCATCTGCCAGCCCCACTGTGGTGGGGAGGAGCAAATGCAATGAGTTTCCACCCTTTATGAAAAGGTCTCCTCCAGGGTGGACAGAATGTGGGCTTTAGTGACTGGGTTTTGGAGCCAGACCAATTGTGAGTTCCAACCACCCCTCACCAGCTCTGTAACTTTGGCTCTTGACCTCCTCAGCTGCCCCTCAGATGGGACTAAAGATAGAGCTTTAGTCAAAAGAAGCAGAAAGTGAGTGGCAAGCCCAGCCACAGAGGAAGCACTCTGTAGTTGGTAGATCTCTCCTAGGGCCTAACACAAATGCTCTACCCGAGCTACACCCCAGCTTCAATAGATGTTAGCTCCTAATGGCCTCACTGAGCTCCCATTCACACAACTTGATCCAAATGCTGAAGCTGACACTTCCAGTTCCTATCCACTGTGAGACTCTTTTGGTGTGCTTTGGTTTGGTTTTTGAGACAGGGTCTCACTATGTAGCCCAGGGTGGTCTCAAACTCTTGGTTCACCTGCCTCAGCCTCCAGAGTGCTAGCATTAAAGCTGTGAGCCACAACACCCAGCTCAGAGCAGCTATTAGTGGATTAAAAACAAGTGTAGAACTGACTTGGTTTGAGGAAGCCCAGACAGACATTCACTGGTCCAAGTGGTGATTTTCTGTGCCTCCCTCCCCCAAGAACCACTCAGTCTGGTCACCTAAGACTTTTTTTTTTTTGGGGGGGGGAACTTTTTTTTTTTAATAGTCATTGAGAATGTTCTACAGCTTACAGTAAATATCATAGTTACAAACTCTTGGCCAATCTTTCAGAGTGATCACTATCTGATCTTCAAAACAAAATGAAACGAAACCCAAAGTAATCCAAAACAACAAAACAAAACCAGATTTACACTTCATACACACAAGTGAGGCCAAAGGGCTTTCCAATCTTTACATTCCAGGTTGTGTTTTGAAAACACATCTAAATTCTTTGATCAAACTACTTGGAAGACACTGGTCAAAGGTTTATTATTATTATCATCATCTTTAAACACTTTTATTTTTTAAAATGTGAGTTCCAATAAAATTTAAAAATTAGATTCCAACCTGTAGATTAAAATGAATTAAAAAATACAAAATCATATACAACGCTCTCTTCACAAGGATGTTACATGCCATGAGGACAGGCTTCTCTGTCGTGTGATATGAACGAGGGATGCAGATGCCTTCAAGTCAGGAAAGGGACAAGCCCTTGGCCTTGCAAGATCATCAAAGAAAATCCCAGGTGCCAGAGGCTTAGCCTGACCTCTTGTGGGGAAGGAGGATCTCAAGTCACAAACCAGATCATCTGGTTGACCCAACAAGAAGGTCTCTGGGCCAGTCCTGCTCTTTCCCTGACTCTTAGGCACGAGGAGGAAGGCTGGAGCCTAAGGATGGCTGGTCTTGCTAGGGTCAGGTCCAAAGCCGATTTCACTCATTTGATTCCCATGGGCTAGTACTCATTTGCAAAGCTGTTTTATCTGTTCTCTTTAGGAAGGAAAACCCCCACTCTACAGGGAGACTCTATAGGTAGAGGAACTCACTGCCACAAGGATGCCTAGGGCTATTGATGCAGTCACAGGGAGGCAGATGTTCTTGGGTCCCTTAATGGGTTTGTGGCAGCCAGTTCCAATTCTTGTGTTCCTCAGCTGGCCTCTGGGATGGACTCATTAGCGTGCAAGGTAGGAAATATACACTGGGGAAAATGAGTGAGTGGGACCCAAGTATGGCTCAGGTAAGGTTGGCCATGGAAATACTGAAAGCTGGCCTACCAGAAATTTTGAAGGCTGGGTCCTATAATCATATAATGCTAAATTTCAGAAGTTTTCTAGGAGAGGTGGCAATAGATGGGTGAAGGACAAGCCCAGCAGCCACCTGGCATGTGAGGCCCAAGTGTCTAGACGCTTACGGGTGGAATCTCACCAGTTAATCTGGCTGAGTTTCTTAAACTAATCCTGCTTTTGAACGTTTGTGGGCCTGGACTCCAGGGAGTTGCACACCACCAAGCGCCTGCTTCCCCTTGCCCTCTCCATCACCCAGTCTGCCCTTCTAGATTCTCAAGCCTGCAAGATGCTAGGGGCTGTACACCCAGTAGTATGTGGTGATACAGATGAAAAAACAAAGCTGGCACTGTCCACCATGCTGTATGTGAGGAGCTACATCACGGTGGATGGTGACCGATCCAGCCAGAATGCTATGATGAAGATCATAGGACTCAGAGCAGGTTCTTGCCAATGAGCAGAGCCAAGGAATTTGATGTGCAGCTCAGCCAGTGCCTTGCTGAATGTGTTCTATCTGCACAATGAGGATGCCAGAAGTTGGTGACCAACAGGCTCGTCCTATTTTTAAACTCCATATGATTCATTTCTGAAGGCCTTTAACAAAGCAAGCCAAAAAAGCATCCCGTTTTCTGAGAGGAGACTACCTCAAATTTGAAATAATTTGGGTGGCCAGGGGAAAGGATTAGGATACATACAGCCTACTTACTGGCCTGGTTCTCACCCATGATTGTGAGCTAAGACTCCAGTTGAGATAAGCTCTCAGCCACTCAAGGCTATGCCAGGTCCCACTGAAGTGCTATCTTGCTGGATCTGGACAGGAGTCAGAAAGCCAGGATGTGCAGGCTTCCTAGACATGGGCCTTTCAATAGGAAGATGCCTGGTGCTATCCTTGTTTACTGTTCAGATTAGGCCTTCTGTTGCAAATTCTCATGCTCTCTGTGCTGCCATGTGACATGCTTCTGGGTCACCAGGGCCCATCACAGGTCTCGGCCCAAAGCAGAAGTTCATAAAAATCTGCTTGGCCGAGAGAACCGAACCTCCTAGGTCTCCATAGTCTTCCTCTACTTGGGGGCAGACGGGTAGACTCAAGAGACCCAGCAGGTGGCAGCAGAAAGAGCAGAGAATTTGAAGAATTCAGATCTTGGCTGTTGCACTTACAAGCTGTCTGTCCTTTGGCAGATAGCTTAACCCTTCTAAGCATTAGATTCTCATCTATTGTCAAAACACTTTACATGTCAAAAGAGCTTTGGACAGGTATATGTGACCTTACTGAATATTCAAGGAAGGGGATATGCACTTTCGGGTCACTGACATAAGAACGAGAACAGTAACTGTTACGTCATGGGAAGAAGTATGTATTATGTATTTTTTCCCCACAGCATTGTAAAAGATTGTTTCAGGCTTTCACTATTATGGGTCAATCCAATTTCCAGATTCAAACTTTTTGGACTCTAGGCTGTGAAGACAGACTCAGGTAGTAGGTGGGGGAAGCCAAGAGGGTTGGCTGGTGAACTGAACCACCTTTTCTCCTGGCCCTGGCCACTAAGTTGCTGAGCTGGGGAGAGGTAGAGGTGTGGGAAGGAGAGAGGGTATATGTGCTAATGCCAGTGCTGCAGCTCACTAAGTCACATGTACCTGTCCCTTGTCCTAGGAGAGGGAGGGCCCTTCTAGCTCTGACCTACCCAGCTTGACCACCGGGCCATCCAGTCTTTGTGAATGGTACAGTACCTCCTGCTAGATGCCTGTGACCTTGCCAGGAGCTTTGTTCATCCTACCTGAGGCACACACTACCCCACTCTCCTGGGCTCAGTTACTTTGCAGCAACTCCCTAAGCTTGGGCAGGCTTGTAGATCTCTGTCAAACAAGAGGTTGAGGCTCAGGTGCTCATACTGAAAAGGGGGAACTGGGCCTGGCTCCTCTAGAACACAGCATTTCAATGCTTATTTTTACATTTTAAAAACACATATGACATAACCTTTAGGGGGCCTCCCTTTGATCTCAAATTACATACCAGAGTTAAGAGCAAAGACGCTTGGGTATATGAGCTTGTGTGAGTCAGGCTGAGAGAGAAAGAGATAGGAGCCAGCCTGGGATTCATCTTATCAGGGTTAAGCCATATGACGGATGTTAAACTGCTCTGTGAACTATGAGATACAGGTATTTACTTTTACTCATGAGTGTAGAAAGAACAAAAGTTACAAGTCATTCCTAGGTCTCTTTTTTTTTTTCTCTTCTGTGGTCCCACGCAGCCCACCTGGAAGCAGCAGGGTCTAGAAATCCTATTAGGATTCCAGCTTCGAGTTCACTTTGGGCCATTTACTTTCCTTCTGGAATGTGTTTTCCTCATTTGTGAAATGAGTAGAATAACTGACCCTGTCTCTCTCTTAGGGCCAATAAATTAAAGGCTGTAAAGTGCTTTGAAATCTATAAAGCACCTGACAAATGCAAAAGTTTCCTATTATTATCATTATTGTTATTTTGGCATTTTAAAAACACATATGACATAACCTAGATAACCTTCACCTGCCTCTACAAAACAAAAACAGGTGGGAAGTGGCAGTGCCAGAAAAAAAAAGAAAAAAGAAATGGAGTAACACTGGAAATCTTTCTGTTGTTTTACAATGAAATTCTATCAGCACTCCAGAGCAGGCTACACAGAACAGCCGGGTTTTCTCTTACTAGTCCTGAAATTCCCAGCAAGGCTAGGAAGGTGGGGTCCCTAACTCCTAGCTCTGGGCCAGGGATGCTGATAGGCTCTGACCTCCTGGAGACAGTTTCTTGGGGTCCTTCCAGCCCAAGAGTGTCCTATTTCTTTCCTCCTTTAGGGGGACATGGGAAGCAGGGGGAAGGATATGTCCAAGTTTACATGAATTTAAAATGAAAAGTTACTAAAAGTCCCAAATGTTGTTAATGATCCCATTTTGTACAGTAAAATGTTCCTGCTCCACCCCAGAGGGGCTGCTGGGCAATCCAGGCTCCTGGCTGAGACTAGCAGGGACCTCCTTGTCCCAGGGGTCCCTCTTCTCCTGAATGAGCCCATGTCTGCTGGGCCTCATCCTTGTCCTCCTCTCCTGATGGCTCCCACTTTCTTCCTTTCTTCTTAGGATGAGAGGCTACTGTCCTAAAAGCATAGTCTCTCCTCTCCAGCCATCCCACCAGCTCCTTTTTCTAGGGGTAGAACCAGGTATAGGACGAAAATTCCAGATGTCTTCACAGAATTTCCAAATGCTATTTCTTCATTTGCAATTTCTGTTCCTGCCACCTGTCCCCATGTGGCCTCTGCCCAGTATTCAACCCCCGTCTTTGGAGTCCATGGGGGAAAAGAGCAGAAACAAGAGCCTAGAGATCATTCCAGAGCTCACCAGGTGTGGGTGCCGCAGATTTAATTTTTACAAAATCAAGCCAATCCATCCCTAGCTAAATTTTTTTAGGCAACATGTCACTAGGGAGGAAGGCTGCATTTAATGCTAATTTACTGAGAGGTCCTCTTCTCTGGGCCTCAGTTTTTTCATCTGTCAAACAGGGGAATGGATGAGATGATTGCTAAGGTCCCTTCAGTTCCATGAGTCTATGAAATGATTATTGCTATTGCTTTTCCTTCACTATCCTGACCTTCAGAGCCGCCAGCACCCACCTGGAATGTGGTTCCTTCACTTTGGCCATGAATGGCACAAGATAACCAAGAGCTTTGCCTGCCTGCCAGCCCTACAGACAGACAAGTGAGCCCTGGCACTGGAAAGGACAGAAGGGCAAGGGAGAGAAATGCCACAGGTACCCACTCTAATCAGGAGGACACTCCTCATTAGAATGGGTCCAAGGAGGGTTCAGAGACCGAGGTCTGGATTATGCAGGGAACCTGGCCTTGGGACACTGGGATCCCACCAGCCTGCAGCTGCTTGGCAGGTCTGAGGTCAAAATCATTTTTTGAGGAAGTGCCAGGTCAGTTAACATCACTGTGCAAATCAGAACGTCAGGCCCATACAATGTGGCCAGAGACCTTCCAAACCAATCAGGTGAGCACCTGTCTCCCTTTTTTCCCTCTCCTTTCCCACTGTGCCCTCCCTCCCGACACCCTTCCCTAAATTTCCCAAAGACTCTAGTTTTCCCAGGTTCTCAGCCTAGGGTATGAAGCTGCTAATAACACTCCTACATAATCAGGTGGTTTGCTCCTGGTCTGTTGCAATGGTTCTCAGAAGGTAATCTTAAGAAAAACCAGAGCAGTTACTGCTCAACAGTTCTGAGTTCTTACCTCAGACCTGAGGGCAACATCTATTTATGCTCTTCAAATGAAACTGAGCCTACAACTGAACCACTGCAATAAACCCCACTCTCTGCCTGCCACTGTACGGGGATCCTGGGGACAGGATACTTGAGGAAGAAAAGAAGTGTAGCAAGGACATGGTCTGGGCAGGCAGGAGGAAGAGACAGAGCTGGAAGGGCAGTGGCTAGCAAGGGGAGAGACAAGAGATTAGAAAAAGCAGCTTTTACAAAAACCAAAAATAAAAACCAAAACCATTAAAGATGCATAAAGTGACCCTTGCACTTCCGTTGTCTCTTCTTGCAAATAGAGGTGGTGCTGCTAGGGGACTGCTCCAGCACCGGTGTAAGACTTGAGTAGTTGCATACAATGTGTGACTCCAGATCTGGGGGAGGAATGGAAACCAAGAGACAGTGATATTCCACAGGCCACTTCAGGAAGCCTCTAGACCCCCTCCCCTTGACTGGGAGCCATAAATGGATCCCTCTGTGCCCTCCCGGAGGAGCTGCTGCTTCCCTGTCCTCCTCCCGTGGAACTGGTTAGTGCAGTTCACTGACATGCCTTAGTTGTTGCTGACGGCAGTAATGGGACTGCTGGTCAGGGCTGACACACAGTCTCCACGTGATTCCAACAGACCTAATCTCTGGTTTAGGTAAGATTTTATTTAATGTCTGAAGACCATATAGTAAAGAATTAGTAGTACAGGACAGGAGTTCAAGTCCCAGCTCAATTTTTACTGGCTGAGTGGTGTTGAGCTATGTATTTATCTACAAAACAGAGCCAATGATTCTTACTTCACAGAGCTGCTATGAAAATTTTGAGTGCAGTAAAGTATGTAGCATGACAGTTATTAATAAAAGCAGTATAACAGACTGTGGAACAGGAAAGCAACTGATAACTGACACCTGCCCCTGCAACACCTGTGCTCCAGGCTCAAGCCAAGAGCTTTGAGGCAGTTGCTGTATATGTCCCCTCCCATTTCTCCCACCTTGGCCCCACTCACTTGGATGGGCTGCAGGCTTTACCAGTGCGGGGGCACATAGCTGTAAGCTGGGGTTCCTTGGGCCCTGTATGTGGGCATGGAGACAGGGTGTGCTCCAATTGCAGTGTGCTGGGGTGTAGTCAGCAGAGTACCTGGGCATCCAGAGAAAGAAGAGGAAACCTGATGAGGCTGTACCAGGGGACAAGGACAAAGAGGATGAAACCATGGTCGTCTGCATGGCTGCTCCCTCTATCTAAGCTCCCATCTCCCTGTCCCTTTATCTTGCAAGGCAAGTGTCCCTCTAAGGAAGGAACTTTGTGGATGCCAGAGAACAGAATCAATCACTATTCTTTGGAAATCTCCCTTTACTTTTCTTTGCATGCTTTTTTTTTTTGGTGGTACTGAGATTTGAACTCAGGGCCTCATGCTTGCTAGGCAAGCACTGTACCACATAAGCCACACCTCCAGCCCTTTTTGCTCTGGTTATTTTTGAGATAGGGTCTTGCTTTTTGTTCAGGCTGGCCTGGATGGTGACCTTCCTATTTTATCCTTCCCACTGTAGCTGGGATGACATAAGCCACCATGCCCAGCTTTTTCTCTGTTGAGATGGAGCCTCGTGAACTTTTTTGACCGGGCTGTCCTGGAACCATGATCTTCCTAAGGTGTAGCTGGGATAAGAGGTGCACAGAATCAGGTCCAGCTATTGGTTGAGAGGGGGTCTCACACACTCTGGGCTAGTCTCTAACTGTGATTCTCCTGATTCAACCTCCCATGTAGCTAGGATTACAGGTATGAGCCACTAGCACTCAGCTGGCTTATTTTTTATGAGATAGGGTCTTGCTGACTATTTCTGCCAGGGCTGGCTTCAAACTGCAATCCTCTTGTCTCCACCTTATAAGTAGCTGGGATTATAGGCATGTACCACCATGCCTAGCTCCCTCTGTATAATTATTTATTGCACAAACACACAGAGTAGTAATTGTTGGTGTTTGTGATTATATCTCCCACACTACACTGGGCAAGGCTCTGCTGTGACCTATAGAAATCTGGTCCCCAGGACCTGAAACAACAGGGTCAGCACTGAGCAGGTATCTGGTAGCTTGCTAGTGTAAGGGGCAAAATAAAATCTAAATGCCCACTCTACCCCTGTGCTCTCTTTCCTCACATGGTGACTTAGCTGGTTCTTTAAAACTTGGTGGTCACAGCCCACTGGTATTCTCACACCCTTCATGGGAATACCTGTTTTTATCCCAAGGTGTCCACTCACCCAAAGACCTTCCTAAAGCTCTGCTCCCTCACCCACACTCTCAAGGTTTTGTAAGGCAGTGCTCTGGTTTGATTTCTGGCATGGGAGGGGAGTCTTCAGGGACTACTGCCTCCCTCATCTCTTACAATTAATATGGGACCAGGCCTTATGCTCCTGCTTGCTAAATAACATTGCCTCTTGCTGCTACTGGAAGCCTACCTTAAACTACACTGACAGCCTCCTCACTGGCCTCCTTGTTTCCAGCCTCTCCATTGCTTATCCTGCCTCCAGCCTACAGCTAGACATCATGTTCAAACACAACCTCGTCTATCCCATGCTTAACGCCCATTGTTAGTTCCCTTACCTAATGGTACCCAAGTCTTTTCATCATCATATCCTTGCAGAGGTACCAGCCACCCTTCTACTCCCATGCCTCTATTTCCTAAATTCCTTAGTCCCTTTGCATTCTGTGAACCTGCCACACTCACTTCTGCCTGCACTATTCTTCCCTCTTTCACACCTGTGCATAGCCTCCATTTACCCTTTAAGACCTAGCTCAATACGCCTTTCTTGATGAAGCCTTTCTCAACCCTGCAACAGAATCACAGGGTCCTTCCTCTGGCTTCCTGAAACCACCTGACACACTACTTCACCTGCTGTGCTACAGCCAGTTCCATGATTATTCCCTGCTGTCAGGAGTTCCTGGAGAAGAGTGAAGAACACTGAAGCAGATGCTGCCCTCACCTGCTGACATCGCCATGGTGGTGCCTGCCACCATGCCCATGGCCACTCCGTTGGTCCTGGGGGCAGCAACAGGTGCCGGGTAGATGGCAGAGGGAATGCTGTTAGGCTGGACAACCGTGGTATGGTGGATGACATGGGGCTGGGCAGCATACACCGGCTGTGTATAGTAGGCTCCCTGGGGGAAAGAGGCTTAGGTCACATAGGCTCTTGGCAAGGTGGCAAGATGTGGAGAAGAAAGGGTGGGGGGGGGTTCTGTTTTTCCTAGTCCCTAGGGATGGGCTGAGAGAAGCACTGATCCAGAGACACAAGATCTAAGCCCCAGATGGGGCTATGCTTTGTCTCCCTATGTGACAGTTCCTATGGTCATTTCAGTGCTGGCTCAGCTTGGTCTGAAAAGCAAAGCTCTTCCCCTGTCCTGCCTTGCTCCTTGGGCTGCTCTGAAAACCTAATGGGGTAACCTTTACCCTGACTTTAACATTATAATAATTTATATTTTATTGCAGTGTACTTTTATAAGCTGCCTAAAATTTAATTCCTTTTTTTTTCTTGGTGGTACTGGGGTTTTGAACTCAGGACTTTATGCTTGCTAGGCAGGTGCTCTACCACTTGATCCTTTCTGCCGGCCCAAGCTGCCTAAAATTTACAAGTAGGGACTACAATCAATCAACAGATGCACAGGGCTGAGAACTCCAGAGCACTTGTACACTTATCCTGAAGGATTTTCAGCAGTGTTATCATACTGGTGCAAATGCTGGCAGCTTACACTCTGAAACTGCCACCAAATGGACATTTCCCAAGATGTCTCTTACTATCTATGTCCCCTCTGACCAAAGGTGAGAATGGAGACAATAATCTGAGGTGACTTCCCAGTGCCCAGATCACAAATCTGAGGTGACTTCCCAGTGCCCAGATCACAAGACTGCTTCCTGCTGCTATAGTCCCTGGGCCTGCTGACCCCTGGAAGGAGACAGACCCCCTGAGATAATCTGAATCCAGAAATTCTCAAATCTTAATACTAAATAATGACAAAAGGCTCACTGTAACTTCATAGGTCTGAGAACATAGTACAAGGTACCGTACATGAATGAGAAAAACTGATCTCAAGCCTTTTTTTTAATGTTTTGCATTCTATTCTATAATACAGCTAGTTTTTAAACTAAAGAGAAAATGCTCTCCCCACCTTCACATCTCATGTAGAATTGTCACTCCAAAAAAATGTGCCAGGCAATGTTGGAGCCTCATATGGTCCCTTCTCAAATCAGTTCCCTCCAAGTGCACACATTCTGCAGCCAAAGGAGCCCAGACAGTAGCGCTATGGCACACTTAAGAATTAAGAATAACTTGCTCAAGGTCACAGAGGGCACTGGTAGCAGATCTTCTCCTTCCTACTTGGCTCAAAAACTTTATCAAGGAAGGGTGGATATGAGGGTGGGAGAGAGAAGACCAAGAGATTACAGGGTCTCATCCTGACTCAAGGAATACCTCACTGTATGATCTTGGACAAACCATTCCCCTTTCTGGGTCTCAGCTTCCCTACTTGTTTAACAAAAGAATTGAACTAGATGATGTCTAAGAGTTTGTGCTCTTCTGATATCTGAGCTCTGTTAATCTGAATGACTCTGTGCTTTATCTCTTTAGGGGCTTACCTGGAGTGAGAGTAAGCAGACTGCAGGAACACTGCTTCAGTGATATCAAAGTGATGGTTGGTCAGACCCATGAACTCCCATTTCTCTTTCTTACCCCATCCCACCCAGGCTGGAGGTTCCTGCAGAAGAGATTGGTCCAGACCTCCATGTACACCTACCTGGGCATACAGATTCTGCTGGGGGTAGGCACTTCTGATTGGATACATGGCCGTCTGATAGGGGTTGGGTGATGGGGAATAGGGGGGCGGAGCAGTATTACTCTGGGTTGGTGGGACCTTGTATGGTGTCCCTGCAGTATATCCTGTATCAAGGCAATAAGAGAAACCTCCAGTTAGTTGGCAGAACAGCATTGCTAGAAGGCAGCAGATCCCAGTCAAAATTCCTCAGACAAAGATGGGCTTAATCAAGGCTGGAAACACAGATGAGGACAAACAAGAGAAACAGGGCTCTGCCCAGAGAACCCTGCTCCCAGGGCAGCTCCCCTGTCCTGGTGCACAGGGCCGCATTAAAGATTTGGGCAACTTTTACTTCTCTAGGTTTCAGGGATCTCATCCATAAAACAAGAGGCCAGAAGCAGATGGTCTCTTATGGGACTCTTTCAGCTCTGACAGCCTGGGGTTTTGAGTTGCCTTTATGAGAAAGGCAGGTGCACACAGATGGAAGCCCTTCAGTCCATGCGTTCCTTATTGCTACGCTGCCTTCTTGCTTTTCACTCAGCACCCCACAGGATCTTTTGCTGTTGGTTCCATCTTGCTCTCTCCCCTTTCTCTCTTTTTCTTCTTGTATCTTTCTCCCTTTATGGACTTCCATCAACCACAGTCCCCTGCTTCCTAACAAATTTGAAGGTAAAACTCCCATTTAAAACACTCAGAAATCCTCATCTTCTGAGATGTTGAAAACTTTGCCTTTTAGAGCTGGCCTTTTCTGTCTTCCTGGGGCTGGGAGAAGGGTCGTTTCTGCTCCAAAGGCCTGAAGTAAGGGAATACAGATTCATAATTGCCCATGTCTCTGCCTCAGCAGGATGGACAAAAGCTGGGACTCAGAAGTCAGACCCCAAGAAGCTCACAAGTGGCTATGTGAACAGTGCTGCCTGTGAGGTCTCTGAAAAGGGAGTCACAGGAAGAACTTGAACACAGGTACTCAGGAACAAGACTTTGTCTTTATAGCATCACCAAAGGGACTCATCCCATGGAACCAAGTGATCATGAAGTGACTCCAGCTCTCTCACTTTACACAAAGGGATCCTGAGACTCAGAAAGGTCAAGTCTTTTTAGTTTAGAGTCTTTAGACTACTTTCTGAGTTGAAGGGACAGTGCCAGGGAGCCTTGGCTTTGAAGCCCAGTGGGGAGGTGTTGGGGTGGCTTCTTCCTGTTTTGGGTAGGTCTGGCTGACATCACTGAACCTCTCTGGGATTCGGCTCTTTCACCTATAATATGCTCACCAAGGACCCTTTTAGATCTAAGGGGCTGTTTCTGCAAGAAGGGCCTAGGGGCAGAGTGGAGCTGGGTTTTGTTGAAGAGATCTAGGCTACATTCTGGCTTTGTGTGACTTGGGTAATGAATGCCAAATTTCTGGGCCTTAGTTTCTTATTTAGGAGGGGAGGGGAAATTTTTAAAATAATAGGGTGAACTGTAAATCTCTAACATGGGGATATGCAGGAAACTTTTTTTCCCAAATTTATTTTACCACAGAATCTTTTATTCATACTTTTAACATTGAAGATAGGCAATCTCCAGACTGTGGTTTTCTATAACTGCAGCTTGTTTTGTTAAATAAAACTGTAAGGTAACATGGCCACATTTACTTGTTTACATACTATTGCTACTTTCCTAGTTAGAGAGACTGTATGGCGCTATGGCCTGAAAAGCCTAAAGTATTTATTGTCTGGCCCTTTATAGGAAAGTTTATTGACCCTGACTTAAAGGAATAAAACAAGGTATAGAGGTACTGGGGGTACAGCTCAGTGACAGAATGCTTGCCCAGCTTGCACGAGGTCATGGGTTTGATGCCCAACACCACATACACACACCCGAAAACAAAACAAAACTGAGGTATAGAAAGTCCTGCCGAATCGAAAGGGTTTCTTTTCCATGCTAGAGAGCAGGAAACCCTGAATCCGAAGGTGCCTATCTTGGAAAGCACTACAGCAGAGAGCAGTGAGTACGAGCACCCAAACTTCAACTCTTGCTACTACTGCCTATGGAATACATCATCTCCTCACCTGTGAAACAGCATAGTAACAGTACCTACTTCACAGGGCTACTGTGACAAATACATTGGTAAGTGCACTGCATTTAATACTTGGCTTGATATATTACAAGCACTTCCTGCAGGTTAGCTATTTTTTTTTTTCTCTCTCTCTCTCACTACGTAGAAAGATAGGAATGCCCTGGAGGTAGGCAAGTAGAGACCAATCCAAGAGACTAAAAGAGACAGAAAGCTAAACTTTAAGAACTACTATGGTTTATTCCAACTTGGAACACAGATTCCAGGACTCTTAAGATTCTAAAATTTTCTGGTTAAGATGCTGTGATTTTATGATTCTTCAACAAGCCTTTATGCTGCTGGAGAGTGTGCTCTGGAATTTTTATCTTCCCCAGGAAAGGCATACTACCCACTCTGTGCTACAAGGACAACCATATTACAAAGTGTTGCGACTGTCCCTCTGAGGAAAATCAAAAGATGCCAAGAGACTGCAGTCGAATTTGGATTCCACATCTAAGAATAACCTTGTCTAAGAATGTGTTCCTTTCTTCATGTTATGAAATGAGACACACATACTCAGAATACAAATCGGTAGCCCTAACACCCTTGGCAGCCAAAGAGATGCTATTGTAGATGAAGGCTCTGCTTGCTAGACAGTTCAGGATGACAGAAACAGAACTGCAAAGACCCTAGACAAGATCCTGGGAGGAATAGATGCTAAAAAAGAGTGACTGCTCACAGAGGCACTTCCTCTAACCACATGATTCTCAATGTGACCATGTGGGTCAGGAGGGTCTTAATCGAAGCTGCTGAAATTGTCCAGGCTCAAAGCCTGGGCTCCTTCAGGGCATCAGCCCATCTCTTCTCTCGGGGAATATTTTCATTTGGATTAAATAGTTTCAAGGCTTTTCTGGTGCTGACATTCTAAGTCTTTAATTATTTCAGCAGGAATTTTCTGAGGATCTCATTGCAGAAGACTTTCTGTGAATAGCTGATGATCCTATCCATACCCTCAGAGAATACTGAACATTTCTCTGGGGCTATGGCCTGGGATACCTTGTTTATCACAAAGTCAGGGTTTATTACTTCATGTATCTAAGTAAAAGAACTCAGACTTCCTGTCAAAACAAATCATAGGTTTTTACCCAAATAAACTTTTTACTCACTGGAGGCCTGGCTACCCTGAAAGGAATTCTAAATCTACAGGTCACAGAATGAGGATTTGGAATGCAATGCCTTCAGGACATTAGAGGCTAACATTCAACCTTTCAGAGGAAGAACTGGAGCCCAGAAGAACAGCAATTTTCCCAAAATTGCATAGCAAATTAATGTAAAGCTAGGTCCAGAGTTCAGTGCTTTCCTATGCATTGGGTAGAGCTCTTTCTGAGTTAATAGTCTCTGCAGTACAATTCTGGGCATTTGGTATATTTGGCCTTTGTGTCTTGTTTCACTAAAAGCAGCATCATGAGAGAAGAAAGGAATTTTATCACTAGAAATCCCAGCTCTGCCTTATAAAAGAGACATTGTTTATGATGCCTGTTGTTTGTCTCAGGTTCCTAACCATATTTTTAGGTTCCATTGAACAGGACAATAAAGAGAGTGTGTACATTAGCAAGATAAAACCTTTATAGCTCTCTCCTGAATCTCTCTTCACTGTCATAACCTTTTTCAGTTGCAGAGTTCCTACCACCTTCAAAAGCATGGATTTTCATATCATGGGCGCCTTTTAGACTAATCGGTTTATTGATCATCAGATTTATATGTCTGGACAAAACAAAGCGTTCTGTCTGAATTTTGCCTTGACCCCTAACTCTCTTTGTTGGTAGTTGAACAAGGGAGTGCTAAATAAGTAGAAAGGAGATCTAATTACAAACAAGCTTAGCAAGTGTTGGTAAAATTAAACTGAATTTGTCAAATGTTCTGTGGCACTAGAAATCTGAATGCTGAGAGAAGCCTTCATGAGTTCAAGTGGGTAAGTCAATCACACACAACTGTGTTAAAAAAATTACACAGGTTTATATAGTACTTGCTTGAGACGGCTACACTTTGGTCCTTTCCAGGGACTTGACAGCCTGTCTGGCAGGGCAGAGTGGGATGTGGCTATGGGACATTTCAGGACTTCAGGAAATTTTCAAAATAGTAGAAGACAAGGCTTTGATACTCAGAATTCCTTACTGTGGAAAGGGTTTCTTCTAGGGGGAACAAGTATCCCATCCCGGGAGATGCATAAGCAAAGGTCTGATGGCCAGTTACTGGTGAGGGTGGCTGCAGAGGATCTTAGAGACAACCTAGTCCAAGGCCCTCATTTTACAGTTTAAAAGGCTAAGGTCCTAGGCATGGACATGAATTATTCAAGGCTATACAGAACCAAGTCTAGAAATTAACTCTGCATTTCTATTTTAGGCTTCTTTCTGCTAAACTGCAGTAGGTGGGCCTTTATGCATCCATATCCATATGCGTGGATACACAAGAGAACGTGTATGTGTCAATTTACACATATAGTTTTAATACAGTCACTCAATTCTATTTGAGGTATATGAAAAAACTCCCTAGGGCTATCATCCTTCTCTTAAATAGTAAAATCAACCTCAAGACAAAAGTAATAGAAAGCTGGTGGAATGGCTCAAGTGGTAGGGTGCCCCGAGTTCATCCCCATTACTGTCAAAAAAAGGGAAAAGAATCTTTACCTTATCTGAATGCTATTATTATTATTATTATTATTATTTTTTTAGTTGTGTCACTTACTAGCTGGGTAGCACTGGCATATTACTTTTCTGAGCCTCAGCTTTCTAAGTGGGATGAGAATCCACCTAGTAACTTTCCAGGACTACAGTGATGACAGGATGGTTAGGAAAGCATATTCACCAAAAGGTGAGCTATGTTATGTAAGTGGACATTGACATCTAGGGACAATGATAACCAGAGAAAATGACATTGGGCATTTTAAAGAAAAGAAAAAAATACAATGAATTCTTCTAGTCTGCTTACTTAAAAGACTAACAATTCTCTGTAACTTTCTGCCGAGTACTTGTCTAGCCCCTTGCTGACACAACTTCACAAGTAAGTGTTCCCCCATACAAAGTCAACCATTTCTCTACTATATAGATTCCACAAGGCACCAAGTTCTTCCTTAGATGGAGTCAAAATTCCACTCAGTGACTGCTAAACAATGGTCCTCGTTTCCTCATCTGAACCATTTGTATTAAAAATCAGCTATGAAGATGACAGCACCAGTTACTCCGTTGAGCCTCAAGAAGAACATGACTGGCTGGTGCAGTGGCTCAAGTGGTAGAGTGCCTGCCTAGCAAGCATGAAGCCCTGAGTTCAAACCCCAGTACCACCAAAAAAAAAAAGAGTATGACTAACCTGACTGGCCTCTGGCTTTGGTCCATGTACATACCTTGCTCTGATAATGCAGCTTCCACCAGAGCAGTGTTTCTTCTACAGGGGGCAGTTTTGTTCCCCAGAGGACACTAGCCACATTTGGAGACATTTTTAGCTGTCACATGTGACATGCTTTGATACTGGCATCTAATAGGTAGAGGCCAAGGTTGCTGATAAACACCCTACAATGCAAAGGACCACCCCCAACAATAAAGAATTATCTGGCCCAGATGTCAACAGTGCTAAGGCTAAGAAACCTCGTGTTAGTGGGAAAGCCCCGCCCCTGTCCAAAAATACATGGGTCTTTAGAATGTACCCTCTGTCCTTTCTCCTGAAATGCAGTAACAGTTCTTCCCAAATCAAACTTCTTGGTCTTGTGAGTGCTTCCTTCTCCCTCCTTCACTGCTGTGTGTCTCCCTAAAGCTGGGTGTGATTTGATCAAAGAGAATGATCTTTCCTGTATGAGAAAGGTTAATTTTGCATGGGTAGGAGAACCTCTTAAATCAGTGTTTATATTATAATTATCATTTAAAAGATTTCCTCTCCTTTTTTGCTAAGAAGCAAATCAGTTCCAACCAAAGGGAACATGGAAAAGAGACAGGCTGTATTTACTGAAAGCCGCAGAGGATGCTTGGTAAGTTCGGTTCTCGGTCCCGGTGTCCACTGGGAGGTGGAAGGTGCCTTCAGTGCCACAGGAAGATGAGTTCTGTGGCCAGGCCTGTTTCATCAGCAGAGTGGCTTAAGGGAAGACACAAGAATGGCATTAGGCAGAAATAAGAAGTGGGCACCACCAGTTACAGACACAAAGCAAGGGGTCTTGTGCTAGACAGAACATACAACCCAAGGGCCTATTCAGACACACAGAATGATTCAGCCTTTCTGAGATGGGCGTAGGTTGGGAGGAGTGCTGAAGTGAACTTCCAAATGACTTAAAACTAAGGAAGCCTGCATTTAGAGAGTTAGGATTTTCTACCCACTACTAAAACCATGAAGATGCCCATGAATATAGCCTCCTTCTACCTGATCTTCTGGCCTAAGCCTCTGATATATTCCTTAGCTACTTTTTCATTAACATGAAACAACTTGGGAGCTTTTGAAGTTTATTGAGCCAGATCAACTGGTTTTTTTTTTTTTGGATGTCTGAGATCTCATCTGGAGGTATTTTTAGTAAGTTGCAAGTTGCTTTCAGAAGAGAAACTTACAAGTGGTTACCACATTACACGAACCCTGCTGGAATATCACCTCCTCTAAAAGAACTAAGTGGCCATGGCAGCTTAAAAGGCACAGGGCACTGCGGCTGCACTCCTAGCTATCCCTTGCTAACTCCTCCTGGACACCTCAGATAGACCTCTTGCATAACCCTGAATATTTCCTGCTGAGGTGCTACCGGGTGCCCCACCTGATGTCTCAAGTGAGTTACAGATGATTCTGTGGGCCATTACCAAAGTAAATGTCAAACTCAGGTGTGAAATAAAGATGAGGCCCAGTTTGAGATCTATAAAGACTTCCCAGACTGACTCAAAACTCAGCCTGAGAAATTTGAAAGGTGATATTTCATTTGTTCTAGAAGTAGGGAGTAACTAAGAAACTTACCGTCAAGATATCCTAAGGAGAAGGAGAGAGGAAATAAGGCTGCAGTGTTGTCTAACTTTTTGCTATATTTTCAAACACTAGAGGAGAAACATTCTTGACCCAAATTTCTACTTAGGATAGAAAGAACAATTTTAGCAATGTACTTCCACTTAAATAAGGTTTTGGAAGTCTCAGGTATGGGATGTTTCTAAATATATTAACAGAAGGTGGGGCTGTAATGTTAACAGTTAGATATACTTGAAACATTTTAACAAGGGTCTAAGTTAAAACAAGGTAGTATGAGAGGAGAGTATGCCTGTATACTCCAATTCCACCAGGACATGCTACCTCCAGAGAGATTTCATAACCCCTCTGCCTGCGTGGGTAGCAGTCTGTGACTGTTCTTCCCATTAGAGAAATAGGAGGGCTACAGAAGTTTAGGGACTTGGATGTTTTTGCCGAGCATCATTAGAAGGGAAGCTCTATAGGCTGACTGTGCTCACGTTAATGGCCTGAAATATATGCAGCGGATGCTGAGAAATGAGAAGGAAATCATGGGCAGGAAAGTGACACTAAAAGGAGAATTCTGACAAGAGAAATGGAGGCCTAGCAAAACGCTATGTAGAACCCAGGGCCTTTGCTAGATATCCAGATACAGCTCTGTAGACCCTGCAGGAGGAGGGGTGTGTATTTTAAATAATCTTCTTGGGTTTCTTTTAGGGGGTGGGATACTGGTTTGAAGGGGGTTCATTAAGGATCCAATTAATGCTGAAAAATCTTATCAAGATTGACACTCCATGTGGCTGGAAAGCCATGGCCACCTAAAACAATTTCCTAAAAGTTAAAACATGTAGCTCTGATGCCCATAAGCCCTCACTGGGACTCTACCAAGGAGGAGGCCTGAATTTGGCTGTAGGAATTTGAAGAATTTAGAGGTCCTGATTCATTCCAGTTTGTTTTTCCTCCAAGTGGTAGTGGTAATTTTCATCATTAGCCAAAAGTCTGACATTAGCCTGACTTAGGATTGTGTGACAATTAAAGTAAGTCAAAATTAGCCAAAGAGTTCTGAGGCCTAATTGCACTTAGCACTGAGGGGAGTGCCGCAGTGGACAGAACACACATGGGTAAAGTCACTGCACACAAGGTACTTACATTCTAGCTGGGTATGCAACACAGTCACATGCCAACCAGGGAGTGAACAAGACAGCATGATATAGATTAACCAGGAAATAAGCAGATGCCACTGTGCCTTGACTGTCTTTCCTAAGTGATCATGTGAGTTCATGTGAGCTTACTATACATTTTCCTGAATAAAGAGGTAGTTTCTTCTGGTTTCATTGTAAGGAGAACAAATGATATTTTCTGTGCCTTCTCTGGATATTTAAATACTAAATAATTGGGTAAATGTGACTTAAACTGAAATCATAAATAGTTGGGTAAATGTGAAACCTAAAAACAAAACTCAAATACTAGCAGTCATCTTGACTTCTAATTAGTTAGCTGTACCATATAATCCTGCTTCTCCATGTACAACTCTAAAATAACCCATTCCGTTGTTGTTGGTGATTCAGAGCTCAGTTGCTGGATGAAACCAATCCCAACTGAAGCTTTTAGAGGCGTGGTGATAGAAGAGGCTGCTGTGATAGGTAGGCTTGTTCTTGGGTGCTAGAAGGGAACCACTTCCTAGAAATGTCTTCTATTTTGAACTGAGTAATACTTAAATATAAGCTTATCATTTGAAAACATTATTAAGTTGTATGCTGAAGACTAGTATATTTTATTATCTTTATTGTATGTGTTATTCTTCAAATAAAAAGGACAGACACAGCAAAAGGGAAAACCATTCACAGTGAAATCCTAGGGGCCCAGACACAGCAGGCTGCCTACATCCAGCTGCTGGATTGTTCACTTCCTGGATATGGGACCCTCACACCCTGACACTCGAACAATCTGTTAAGCACACTTACATAGAGAAAGGCAGCAAGGGACCATTATCCTGAACAATGTACTGAGTCAGGAAATCTGAGTTCTAGCCTGAGTTCTACCACTTATTAGCTGTGGGACCTTGGGCAAGTCACTTAATCTTTCTAACCTTCAGTTTTTTGCCTCATAAAATGGCAATAATAATCACTTCCTGACTGCTTCATAGCACTGATGTGAGGATCAAAACAAAGTGTCACCAGGTGCTAGTTGCTCATGCCTGTAATTCTAGTTACCGAGGAGGCAGAGATCAGGAGGATCATGGTTTGAGGCCAGCCCCGGGGAAATAGTTTGTGAGACCTTATCTCAAAAATATCCAATGCTCAAAAGGTCTGGCAGAGTGGATCAAGTAGAGCTCCTGCCTAGCAAGCATGAAGCCCTGAGTTCAAACCCCAGTACTGCCAGAAAAAAAAAAAAGTATCATCAGAACTTTCTAGTACGGGTAGCTGTTGGCTCTTCCATGGCCACAGTTGTGGACAGTTCCACTGCAAACTCTCAACATTTCTCACCTGCACTACTCCTACTGTTTCCTCACTGTTTTGTTTTTAAATCTGTCCCCTCTAATCTCCAAGCTACAGCCAGAGTGAGTTACCTAAGACCTAAACCTAATCACAAAAATCTCTTTAAGAACATGGCTCTCCTCTCCTTTAGACTGAAGTTTAAACTCGTTAGCATTCAGGACTCCCATGATCCAGTCCTGATGCTCTCTCTAGAATCCCATCATTCTCATTCTCCAACCCACACTACTGCACTCAAATTGCTTATCTTTCCCAGATCTCACGAAGGAGCTTCTTATTTCCATGGTGTTATCTACACTGCTAGCTCTTCTGGCATGTTTCTTCCCATACTCTACCTGGTAAGTGAGTACTGATTCATCAATCATGAGCTAAAGACGTGCATTACTGTTAAGTCTTTTCTCCCTACTCTCTGACCACAGCCCCCACACGCATGTCATACAGATGACTATCCTAGTTCCTATGATTCTTAGAAACTCTTGTACTTGTCTTACTGGCCTTTGTATATTCAAAGGGCCAATTCAGAATGTCTCGTACAGAATGTCTTGTGAGGTGAAGATCTCCATCTATATTCCTTATGTATCTTCACTTCAGATGTGGAAAGGTGAGGAAGCATGAGAACTATTCTAGCTTTGTATGGAGTCTTCTGTCTGAATTCAGACAGAAGGCAAACAAAAACATGACTCCCCCAAAATGGTAAGTGAAACAGCTCTGTGGCTAACAAGGCTGAAATAATAAAATTATAAGAGAATGGGACGTTAGCATTTAAAGGGACCTCAGCAATCATGTGGAGTAAAACACTTCATCTATGACTCAGAGACATTAGCGAATTGCCCAAGATCGTGCAGCTCACAGCAGTGGCAAGAGAAAATTTTCACAGCTCATCTTCTGAAAGATGTGCCAAATGAAAATTGAATTTCCAACATCTAAATAATCAAGATTAAAAGTTGAGAAAGTGTGCAGAGATTTTATAAAAACATGTACTAAGCAGCCCAGATGAGGGTGGTAAAAGTAGTGAGTCCATCCCATGGTCCCTTACTGTCTAAGACAAAAAGGACCTAGTCAAGTTACACCGCTGGGACCCACACAGGTGCCCAGAAGTTCCTGTGGTGCCTTGGGCCTGGAGTCCACACCTTCCCAAGAACTCAGTTCTGATTCCTCACTCATTAGCACACTTGGCCCCCACTTTCACCAACTAGGAAAATGCCCCCCAAATGAGCCCAAAGCTCAAGATCTGGGCTAAGGGAACAGACTATCTAAAGTCAACCAGGTCTTCAAACACGTCAGAATGCTGATGGAGATGGAAAATCTGATTCTGGGGCCAACTGGTGTTTTGAGTTCTTAGGCATAATCCAGGGACTCCTTCAGAGAAGCAGCCACACCAACAAGGAGCCACATACAGGTCCTGGAATTTTTGTTCATTTGCTTGAATTCGGCAGCCAGGTTAGGGTAAGAGACGCCTTTTAGTGCCATGATCCTTCATTGCTGCCCCAGGGGACTGGTTCATGTGTGTCTCCAACCCATGATTTTGCACCATTAGACATGTTCCTGCATGCTTTAGGAACTGCTACTGAGCCACCTGAGGGAGCCCAAGCCTAGGGAATGGGATTTGGGGAGGAAAGGGGAGGCAGGGTGGAGGGAGAGGGTGGGGAATCTATCATCATTACGAGATAACACATTCATAGGCCATAATACAGATGAGGAAAAATAGCTCTCCTACCATAAGCTGAATGCAGGAACTGAAACTCTGTTGGATAGAAATGTTAGTTGAAATTACCACTAAGTATTTGTGCAAAGTTGTACATATCGCAGTTATATAACAGACTTTGTCTCAAGGTAGCAGTTTTCCCCAGGCTGCACAAGAAACAGTCAATGTGGAGGGTGTACAGAACCTCTCCCCTGGAGAGGGTGACAGACTTGCCATCCAGGAAAGTTCATTCATTGCAGAGGAGGCACCCCCTTGATGCCACAGTATCTTCCAGGCAGCTGACTCAGAACTGCCTGGATGTGAACAAGCCCAAGCTCCTGCTCTTTGCTTGTCCATGATATGAACACATTTCAATTCTCCTAAGAACTGCTGAGGGATTTCACAGGTATTAAGAGGAAGTGAAGGTTCAGGTACAATTATTGCCATCACAGGCCTCCCAAGAGCTATCTATAAAACCCCAGAGAGCTAGGCGCAATGCAGAGGCACTCAATGCCTGAAGTTGATGGGAAAGTGTGGTGCTGTAGGCTGTCGGGTCAGATCAGTGTGCTTGAATCCCAGCTCCATGGCTTTTTTATTTGAGTAACTGTGGACAACTTATTTAACCTCTCAGAACCAAATTGGAGGCAAGGAGCTGTATTCACAAGACTGAGGTAAAAAATGAACATTTGTAACATACCTTGCACAGTGTCTGAAACAAGGCCGGTATTCAGAACACACACATTCCTTTCCCTTACCCTTCCTCAGGTTTGCCACATGCAAAATGGGAATAATCTATTTGTACTTTATAGAGAATTAGGAAATCAAGCGAGCTTACACATGAAAATGCTTTGCAAACAGATTCTCATGAGAAAGCATTTTATTTTTATCCGTATTAGTTTCCTGTGTGTCCTTCCTTTCATTTTCAAGTTAGCTTATCATTAATATGACAAACTGTTTTTTGGATTCTGAAAACCAAGTCTTGGTGAACTCTTGCCTCCTCTGGGGCCAAATAGTTCTTAAGTAAGGTCCCTGAAATCATTAAAAGCTTGGAAAAAAGCTCCAAGAACTACAGTGTTTTCAGAACCAATGAAAGAGTGAAACACTCTACCACATCCTAGATGGGTGACAGTGTAGGGTGCTCAGAGCTACTAAAAATAGCTTTCTCTGAAGCAACTTCTTGGTCTCCTAGAGTTGAGAGAAATTTAAATCTGAGAGCCTGGCTCCTTGTGATGCAGGCACCTCTCTGCATCACAAACTGGCTCTGGTAGGAAGCTAGAGTAACCTACACTGTTCTCCCTGACCTAGAGCTAGTTTCTCTATGGCAGGGAACTTCTCCACTGCAATCAGTAGACCTGTGAATGAACAGACCAGCATCCCACAATAAGAAACAGACCCAGTTGTATGTGAACTCAGGTCCACTTGAGCCATCCCCCCAGCCCTTTTTATTTTATTTTCCAGAAAGGGTCACCAGGTTTTGCTAGGGCTGGCATCAACCATAATCCTCCTACCTACCATTATGCCCAACTTCTTTGTTGAGATGAGGTTTTACTAACTTTTTACCTTTTAGACATAGTCTAGAAGGGAATGTGCAGTTGAAGGAGGGTTTTTTTTCAGGTTTGAATATGAGAAAACAAGCACTGATGGGCAGCAGCAGCAAGTGAAGAGGACCTCAATCTTTGGTCTCAAATCTCAATCTCTGCCTCCAGAGTAGCTGGGATTAATGTGTGATCCACCATGCCTGGCCACTCAGCAATTTGTTCTAAGTAAATCTTCCTGTTACCTTCCCTTTGTTCAGAGAAGCACTACCTTCCAGTGTGAAGCATCCCATCTCAGCAAGCCAAAACACGGAAGAGAACTGAGCTCTGGATACCTTACTCCCACAACGCTGCAATGGAGGCCTGGTTCTGTGTCACACAGTTCCAGCTCTGACTTGTCCTCACCACTTGCTGTTGCTACCCATCAGTGCTTGTTTTCTCATACTCAAACCTGAAAAAAAACATCCTTCAATTGCACATTCCCTTCTAGAACATGTCCTTTTGTTTTTCTTCCTTGGTAGCCAAGCTTCTTGCAAGCATAGCCTACATCTACTAAAAATACTTCTTCTTCCCTGGCTCACTGTTCTCCACTTTCCAGCGACCACTACCTCCCTGGCTGCTGCCAGTGAGGACGCTGGTGGCCTCATGACTATGAAGACAATGAATCTTCCTCATTCCTGACCAGAGCTGAACTTTTGCCACAACTCACCTTCTTTTGCTGTAGATTAGTTTACAAAGCTACTCACAGATCTCATAGCACTCAGATTTAAATCACTTACGTATCATGTTATACTTGATAATCAAAGTCTCCTTAGTTTTAAGGTAAAACTTATCAAATATGATTGAATATTGAATCAGACAGAATTTCTGTAGCTTCTACTGTTGCTGCCTCCTAGACTTTTTGGGAAATTATCTTATTGATTAAAAGTAAATACAAAATCAATATTAAGGTATCATTATCAATTTTTAGCTCACTTGTCACACTTACAAACTCTTCAAGGGCAGTGATGGCAGCTTCCTCAAGTGTGAATCACATGTAGTATCTTCCGGAGTGTGTCAGGCTTACAGAACGGGTAAAACAAATGCCTATCGTGCTTATTAATTTTGATTGTCAAACTGATTGGATTAGAAAACACCTCTGGTGTATCTGTAAGGGTGTTTCCAAAAGGCTCTGACCTAATAATGTCTATTGAAGGATTCAAATTTGAATACATTGCTGGGAGGTAGTAGAAATTCCTGCCTGGTTGGAGGAAACAGGGCTCTGGCCCCTTTCTGCTGTAGTTCTATGTTTCCTGTCTGCCATGAAGTGAACAGCTCTCTTCTGTCACGTGGGCCAAGTGATCATAGGCTGAACCCTCTGAAATCATGAGCTAAACTAAATCTTTCCTCTCTCAGGTATGTTGGTCACAGCTACTCAAAAGTAATTAATACTCCTATGTAATGACACATGTATATAATCACTTAGGAATTACCACTTATTTGCATAAAATAGTTCTTGAGAAAAAAATAAAGGGAGCTGTCTTTATCAGACATTGTGTGTGTGTGTGTGTGTGTGTGTGTGTGTGTGTGTGTGTGTGTGTGTATGTTATGAATGATGTAGTTCCAGGGCTCAAATGTAGGGCTTTAGACACAGCCTATGTTCTTTCCTGCTTTAAAAGTCCTAGAGGAAAGGGAATGACAGTACTGAATCCACACAGAAGATCATGGGACAGGATGTACCATGTGGGCTCTAGTCCATAAGCTGTTGCTGATTCACTAGGTAATGAGGACAAAACTGCTTCTCTCTAATCTCTGTTGTCAAGAGAAGACACTGATCTACAGACTCTCTGAGGTCTTTTCAAGCTTTCTAAATCTGAAATAACCACTAAACAAGAAAACAGAGGGTGGATTGGTGGGTGATGTGATTTGGAAAGGCCTCTCCAAGTCTGGCAGTTTGTAGTTCCAATTTATCTCACCCAGCCCCGCCAAGTCTATGCTCCAATCATTCCCACTACTTTTAGGTCCCTAGCAGTGTTGTGTTCCAAACCCCCTGCCTTTGTCATGCTCTGCTGTGCCTGGAATGCCCACTCCTCCTTTGAGTGCTTAAAAAACACATCTTGCTTCTCCCTCAAGTCTCTATTGCTGGCTCCTCTGTGGAGCATCTCTTATACTCTCACTCCAGGAAGACTGGTTTCCTCCTGTCTTCTACTATGTATTCTTTTTATAATAGTTATCATATTGTACTGCAATGAGTTTGTTTATATGCCAGGATCCAAAATGAACTGTAAGCTACTTGAAGCAAAGTTGACACATTTTAATTTTTCTATCCCAGTATGGAGGACATTCAACAAACACTTATTGAATAAGTTAAGAGAAGCTTACAAAACCTCCTACAACCTGAGGTAGGCTGTAACATGTGAATCTCAAAGAGGTGAGGTGACTTGACAAGGCTTTACAAATAGTGAGTTGGGAAATCAGTATCAGGCCCAGGATTTTCCAACAACAGAATCCTCTTTGGATTTTGGGTGTTAAAACATTTGCTGAGTTGGTGGGGGGGGTTAGGATCACTGTAAGACCTCTGCAATGCTCCTGGCCCAAAGCAGAATAAACCTTTTCAATATTTTCAAACCCATTTCAACTTCTATTCAAGAAGTGTCATGACTTTATTATTTTTAAAAAACAAGTAGCTTGTCCAGCTTGAAATCAGCTCTTTATTATCTGGTGGCAAGTCTCTCACTCTCTTCCAAATCTACACCCCACACTCACACTGTGTGTGTGTGTGTGTGTGTGTGTGTGTGTGTCCGTCCCAATGGCATCCTCAGGGGAAACTGAGCAAAGAACGGATTTGGACATTGCTCGGGAGAGCTAGAAAGGCTCTGTGAGGAGGATGCATGTCTTATACATTCCACATAGGAGAGATGGGGAAACTTTAAGTCCCAAGGAGCATAAAGATTCCACTCCCACCCCCACCCTGAAGCTGATCTGCCCCAATTCCCAGAGGGGACTCCCAGGAGAATCAATCCTAGACAGGCTGACCCCAGGGCAATTAAGGAGAGGGAAGGGCTAGCAGGGGGGTTTGTTTTCCCAAGTAGAGACCCATTCCCTACATCACTGTTGCTTTCACTCTGCTTACCTGGAGCGTAACTGGGGCTATTGGTTGGGTACAGGCTGGGATTGTAGGCAGGGGCCGCTGCTGGGTAAGCTGTGGGGTAACCTACAAAGAGACAAGAATAACCTTTCTTAGGCAACAAAAAAAGCAGAATGCTGATGAAACAGAACCTAAGTCACAGGGCTTCAGACTCTCCACAGACCGTTGCAGATTGTACATATAACCAGTTTTCAGACTCGAAAGTCATTAATACCACAACCCCAATATTGGTCTATTTTTAAAAAGTAAAACACAGCCAGGTGCCAGTGGCTCATGCCTGTTATCCTAGCTACTCAGGAGGCAGAGATCAGGAGGATCATTGTTTGAAGCCAACCCAGGCAAACACTTCATGAGACCTATCTGGAAAACCCCTTCACAAAAAAAAAAAGAAAAAAAAAAGGGCTGATAGAGTAGCTCAAGATGTAGGCCCCGAGTTCAAGCCCCAGTACCACAAAAGAAAAAAGTAAATCACACAATATGCCTGCATCCTCACTGTAAAAAATGGAAATAAAAAGAAAAAAATGTATATGGTGAAAACTGTAAGCTTACCTTCACATTCCTGCCATAACACTGTGCTCCTCCCACAGGTAACCCCATTAACACTTTGGCATCTATTTTTCTAGATAGTTTTCTATGCATTTTTATGCTCATGTATTCATATATATGCACATATATTCAGTAGTGTGCTCAAAGAGGTTGGGGGTGGGTCCTTTGTAGCATCTGACAATTGTTATGGTGTATTTAACACCCTTGTCATGGCCAGTATGAAGCTACAGATCACTGAATGAGTGCGTGGGAAGAGATGCCCACAGTCAGTGCTCAAGCATGTGCAAGCCAGGGAAGTTCACCACAGCTTGTGGGTGTGTGAGAGAGAGTATGTGAGAGTGTGAGACTGTGTGTGTGTGTGCTTCTTTTTAAATGCTGGGGATCAAACCCAGAGCCTTGCACCTTAGGTGGGTACTCTACCACAGAGCTATACCCCTAGTCCTATATATAGTTTTGCTTTTTTTTGAAGTTTTCTATTAGGGTAAATTAAGATTTGCTATTTTAACTACTAAGTGTGCAACTCAATGGCATTAATTACATTTACAATGTTGTGCAACTATTATCAGTATCTATTTCTGCAACCTTTTCATCATCCCAAACAAAACCTCTGTAACCATGAGTAACTCCCCACCCCTACCCTCTACTCTGGTAATCTATAATCTACTTTCTGTCTCCATGAATTTTCCTACTTTAGTTATTGGATGTAAGTGGAATCATATTCTATTTGTCCTTTTGTGTTGAGATTCCTTTACTCAGCATTTTGTTTTTAAGGTTCATTCATGTTTTATCAGAACTTCATTTCTTTTTATAGTGGAATAACATTCCATTTTATGTATATACTATATTTTGTTTTTCCATTAATCTGCTGATAGACACCTGTGTTGTTTCTACCCTTTGATTACTGAGTGATATTGCAAAGAACAATGGTATACAAGAATCTGAGTTTTCCTTTTCAATTCTTTTGAATATATACCAAATAGTGTAATGGCTGAGTCTCACAGTAACTCTACATTTAGTGTTTGTTTTTTGGCAATACTAGGTTTGAATTATTGAAGTATGCCCCCAGCCTTTTTATGTTTTAGTTATTTTTCAAATAGGGTCTTACATTTTTGCCCAGGGCTGTCCTCAGACAGTTATCATACCTGTATCTCCTGTGTTGCTGGGATTATAGAAGCTCATCACTACTCCTGGGTTATTAGTTGAGATGGGCTCTCATTAACCTTTTGCATGGGTTAGCCTCAGACCTCGATCCTTCTGCTCTCCACCCTGAGTAGCTGGGATTAGGTGTAAGCCACCATGCCCAACCCCTAAATTTAAAGGAACCACCAAACTGCTTTTCACAATGGCTATACTATTTTACATTCCCACCAACAATGTATGAGGGTTCAAATTATTCCACATCCTATCAATGAATGTTGTTTTGTTTATATTTTTCGTTATTGCTATTTTGTGACAAGGTCTCACTATATAGCTTAGGCTAGTCTTGAACTTGAAATCCTCCTACCTCAGTTTCCCAAGTGCTAAGACTACAGACATGTACTACCACACCTGGCCTTTAAAAAATTGTAACTATCATAGTTGGTGTGAAGTATTATCTCAATGTGGTTTTAATTTACATTTCCCTAGTGACTAATGATGTTGAACACCTTTTCATGTGCTTACTGGACATTTGTGTTTTGGTTTTTTTCTTCAGTACTAGGGATAGAACTCAGGGCATCAAACATACTAGGCAAGTGTTCTACCACTTGAGTCACGTCTCCAGCCCTTTTATTTAGCATTTTGTTGTTGAGTTAGAGTCTCACCAATTTTGCCAGGGCTGGCCTCGAACTTGTGATTCTCCTCCCTCAGCCTCTTAAGTGCTGTGATTATAGGTGTAAACCACCACATGTGGCCACTGTATATTTCCTTTGGAGAAATGTCTATATAAATCATTTCAAAATTGGGTTATATTTTTGGGCTGTGGGTGTGGCTCAAGTAGTTTAGCATCTGCCTTACAAGCACAAAGCCCTGAGTTCAAACAGAAAAGGGGGGGGCTGTCTTTTTGCTATTGCATTATAGAAGTTCCTTATATATTCTGAGCCATTATGAGATACATGATTTGCAAATATTTCCTCCCATTCTGTGGGTTGTCATTTTACTTTTTTTTTTTTTTTTTTTTTTTTGGGACTGGGGCTTGAACTCAGGGCCACTCCACCAGCCCTTTTTTGTGACAGGTTTTTTCGAGATAGGGTCTCGAGAAATATTTGCCTGGGCTGGCTTCAAACCACAATCCTCCTGATCTCTGCATCCTGAGTAGCTAGGATTACAGACGTGAGCCACAAGTGCCTGGCTTATTTTACTCTCTTGATAACGCCTTTGATGCGAAATTTTAAACTTAAAGTCCAATCTGTCTAATTTTTCTTTTGTTGCTGTGCTTTTGGTGTCCCATATCTAAAGTATACTGCTAAACATAAGGTCATGAAGATTTACCTTTATGTTTTCATCTAAGAGTTTTTATGGTTTGGGATTTTCTATTAAGATCATTGATTCATTTATAGTTAATTTTTGCATATGATATGAGGTAGCGATATAGTTTTAGTATATCAACAAACATTTGAGTATCTGCCCTGAGCCAGAGTCTAGTTTAGGGACTTCTATCAGTGAACAAAACAAAGATCTTTGCCCTTGTGGAGTTTATAAACCAAAACAGTAGGAGAAAGCAATGGATAAGGAGTAAACATAAACAAAGTCTAAAATACTATAGAAATGGGGGGAAAAGGGATAAAGGAGAATGATGAAGGGGATGAATTCAACTATGATATAGTGCAAGAACTTTTGTAAATGTCACAATGTACCCCTAGTACAACAGTAATATGATAATAATAAAAAATAAAGTGTTATGGAAAAGAAAAAATGGGTAGGATAAAGGACATTACAACTGCCAGAGTATTTAGAGGGAGATCACTGCAATATTAAGCAGGACAACCAGAGTAAGACATACTGAGAAGGTCATTCTTTTGTAAATGCTTGAAGAAAATAATATCATTAACCAAGCAGATAGCTGAAGGAAGAGAATTTCAGACAAAGAAAACAGTAGAGGAAGGCCCTAAATTGGGAGCAAAGAAGGCATGTCTGAACAATAGCCAGAGGCCAGCATGTCTGGAATGGAATAAATGTGGGGGACAGTAGTAGTAGAGAAGTCAGAAAAATAAGGGGCTGTTCAATTTACATAGGGTGTAAAAGGCTACTGGGAGGACTTCAGAAGTTTATTCTGAATGAAATGAGAAGCTATCACAGGTTTTGAGCAGAAGAATAACATGGTCTGACTTATATTTAGAAAGGGTGATTCTGATGACTAAGTTGAAAAGAGATTATAAGACATTGTATCATATATGAATAAAATTTAAAAAAAAAGATTATAAGGGTAGAGAAGTACAGAGTCCAGGTGGGAGGCTATGGCCAGCTGCTGCCAATAACAGATAATGGGGCTCAGACCAGGACAACAGTAGCAGAGGTGCTAAGAAGTGATAAGTTAAGAATCTTCATATTTTGCCAAACTGCTTTCAAGAAAGAGACTACTGTTCTGGGTGCCAGTGGCTCCTGCCTGTAATCCTAGCTACTCAGGAAGCAGAGATCAGGAGGATAACAGTTCTCTCCAGCAAGTAGTTCATCAGGCCCTATCCTGAAAAAAACCCATCACAAAAAAGGGCTGGTGGAGTGGTTCAAGGTGTAGGCAGAGTACCAGAGAGGGGGGAAGGGAGAGGGAAAGAGAGGAAGAGGGAGAGTGGGAGGGAGGGGAGAGAGACAGACACAGACACTATCAATTTGAACTTGTTCTAGCAATGTTTAAGTACCTATTTCACCACTTCCTGTACTTTTTAAATGCTCACTGGCATTTTGAGGAACAATGGAAAGCTGCTTTTAAAAGTCAAAGATTAAATCCCTGAAAACTTCTTTGGGATTTGTAAATATTGGATCTTTAATAATGTATATTTGTTAATATGTCATTCCATAAATCCTTTCCAATTCCAAAGAAAATAATTTTTTTCTGATTTTAGAACCAAAGTAGCCAACTTGTCACTTAATTAACAATCCAGAGGTGTGCAATCCTAAACAGCCAAAGTAATTTTGAATGAAAAGAACAAAGTTAGAAGCATCACAATACCTGATACCAACGCTAGTACGAGGCTATAGTAACAAAAACAACATGACATTAACATGCAATTCTTTTCAAACCATTCAAAAAAATTGACAGTGGCATAAAAACTGACACATAGGGGTTGAGGGGTGTAGCTTAGTAATACAGCAGGTGCTCAGCATTCTCTAGATCCTAGGTGCAATCCTCAACACTTCCACATACGTACCTCTAAAGAACCTGATACATAATGAAAAAGATAACCTAGAAACAAATCCATGTATCTACAACCAATACATTTTTCAAAAAAAGCACCAAAAACATAGATTGAACAAACAATACCCTTTTCAATAAATGGTGTTGGGAAAACGGAATCTCCCTATGCAGAATGACGCTAGATTCCTAT